AATAACTAAAGAGTGTAAATTCTAGACTGGGCACAAAGTGAGAGATGATGAACTGAAAAACATTGCAAAGAATTTGCCCAGGAAGCATAGCAGAGAGATAAAAAGAAAAAAGAGAAAAACTAAGAGATTTGGAAGATATGTGATATGTGATTGAAAGACTCCAAATATGGTAGGAGTTCTGGAAGAAAATAGAGGAAACGAGGCCGGGCCCTGTGGCTCACACCTGCAATCCCAGCACTTCGAGAAGCCAAAGGATGAGGATCGCTTGAGCTCAGGAGTTCCCGACCAGCCTGGGCAAAAGAGACCTCATCTCTACAAAAAATGTAAAAGAATCAGTCCAGGCATGGTGGCTTGTACCTTTAGTCCCGGCTTCTCAGAAGGCCGAGGCAGGAGGATAGCTTGAGCCTGGGAGATCCAGGCTGCAGTGAGCTATGATCACACCATTGCACTCTAGCCTGGGCAACATAGCAAGACCCTGTCTCTACAAAAAGTTTAAAAATGAGCCGGGCTTGGTGGTGCACACCTGTAGCCCCAGCCACTCAGGAGGCTGAGAGAGAAGAATCACTTGACACTAAGAATTTAAGCTTGTGGTGGGCAATGGTTATATCACTGCACTCCAGCTTGGGCAACAGAGTGAGACTCTGTCTCAAAAGATAAATAAGTAAAAATCATTGCAGGTTGGCATCTTATTCTGTGACAGACAGTACGGAGGCACTTTGGGTGATGGAAAGAAGAGAAAGGAAGTCCTGGCCCTCCTGGAGCTCACGTTCATGATAGCCAGACAGATCATCATTAAGTAAACAAATAACAATATTATATAGTGACAAGAAGGCCAGGCACGGTGGCTCATGCCTGCAAACCCAGCACTTCGGGAGGCTGAAGCAGATGGATCACCTGAGGTCAGGAGTTAAAGACCAACCTGGACAAGATGGTGAAACCCCATCTGTACTAAAAATACAAAAAAATCCGGGTGTAATGGCAGACACCTGTAATTCCAGCTACTCAGGAGGCTGAGGCAAGAGAATCGCTTGAAGCCAGGAGGTGGAGGTTGCAGTGAGCCAAGATCATACCACTGCACTCCAGCCTGGGTGACAGAGTGAGATTTCATCTCAAAATATATATATGGTGGTAAGAAAATAATATCCAGGCTGTACTGGGTTAAATAACATTCCTCCAAAATCGCATGTCTGCCTGGAACCTCAGAACATGGTCTTATTTGGAAACAGGGTCTTTGCAGATGTAATTAGCTAAAATTAGAATACTCAGGAGTAGAGTGGGCCCTAAATCCCAAACCCAGTGTTCTCCTAAGATGAGAGGAACAGACACAGAGAGAGGCTGGCCATGTGACACAGAGGCAGAGGCTGGAATGACCCGGCCACAGCAAGGCGCGCCAGGGACTGCCGCCAACACCAGAAGCTGGAGGGGCAGGAAGGGCCCTTCCCCAGAGCCTCCAAGAGGAGCCCGGCCTTGCCAGCCTGTGATTGAGGCTTCTGGCCTCTAGAACTCTGGGAGAATAAAGTCCTGGTATGTGGCCCCGGTTTCAGGTGCTTTGCTCCAGCAGCCTGAGGAAGCGAGTAGAGAGGGATGGAAGAGACCCGCCGTCTCCTTGAATCTGCCCTTGTTCTCCACTTTGCATTTGTTGAACTTTAGTTCAAAGCCAAGAGGTGGCCTGAGATGCCATTGCCAGAGGTGGCCAGGCCCTGGCATGCACTCTCCCCTTTAACTAGGGACCTTGGTTCACAGACATCAAGGTCGCCTACAGCTCTGCACTTTGAAGTCAGAGCGATTTTGCTGTGGCTGAATGTGTAAGATAATACTTTAAAGGCTGTTACGTAATTGCAGGTTTCTAGAGACGAAACGTGTTCTTTGGTGCCATGTGCATCTTGGTGTCCCACCAAGTCCCTGCCAGGCCCTCCTCTCCTGAGTCGGTGAGAAATCTCGGCTTTCTTCCTCGCTACCCCTCCCCTGTCCTCAGTCTGAGTCTCTCTCAGCTCCACACTCCCTCCGACCCTCCTCCTCCTCCTCCTCTCTGCTGTTCTGCAGCCGGAACATCTGGATTTCATGTGCTGTCCCCAAGATTGCACAGTCTCCCCTGGGTATTCTGTAAATATCCTATCAACGCTTTTACACAAAAATCACTCAAATGAGATGTAAAGGAAGAAGAGCCAGTGGCTCTGGTCTGGCCATAGCTGCAAGATCTCCAGAGGGGAGAGTTCCCCCTGGGCTTTGGCTCCAGCGTCAGGCACAGCCTGTTGGATCCCTTGGGATTTACACCTTCCACCCCTCAAAACCGAGAGCCATGCCCCATTTACCGGTCGGAAACATGCTCTTGCCTCTGAGGAACTCACAGCCCAGCGCATCTGATGACGCCACTGTCCCGGGTAGAGCGTACTTCAATGTATCGATTTAACTTCCTTAGATGCTGGCCTATTGGAGAAACAACTGAAATCGCTGCTTATTTCATTCACTTTTTTTTTTGTTGTTGCTGTTGTTTGGCTGGCTCTGTCATTGTGCTACAAGCCGCAGTTTGGTTCCTAGATGACGGAAGATTCCAGAAGTGATGCTGTGCTGTCTCCCTGGCTGATGTCTGGCGAGGCTCAGCTTCCCGTCCAGACTGTGGGGAGTCAAAGTGTCTGAAGGAACGTTGTTCTTATTAGCATCACACCAGCCTCACACCCTGGCAATGCGAGCTCTTCCCCACCGCCTACCCACGAGGATCCCAGGCACAGGTGGGAGTACCGAGGGCCCACCCGGGCGGCTTGGTGGCTGGAGAGAATACACTGTACAGTTCCTTGGGCTGTGGCATGCCAGAGGTGGTATTCTCTCATGCCATCCCCCTGAGGGTGTGTGGTAGGTGCCACTGTCCCTGCTTCAAGCCTGAGTCTGGAGCAAACCAGTTCCTAAGTGCCAGCGCCTGGGCTCTAGGCCAGCTCTCCCTGCAAACCACGAAATCACCCACCCCGTGACTGGCACTCAATTCCTCCTCCGTCGCCTGGCTTCGGCTGCTCTCTGACTTCTTGCAGCTCTGCTCAGCATTCAAGGAGCCGCTAGCTCAGTTAGAATCCGAGGGAACTGGGTAAACTTTCTCAGCATTTTCAGCCATTTCATGTGGTGTGGGACTGAGTCTCAGCTGAACCCGGCCTTAGCCAATGTTCTTCTCCAGGGTCAAACTCACAGGTTAGGCCAGACGAGAGGATGATGGAGAGCCTCACAGTTCTGCAGACTTTCTGGGGAATTTTGCTCCCTGGAGTTTGTCCAGGCTGCTGGCTGAAGGAACCCATGCCCTCACTGACTCCTCCATGAGGACTTGCTGCCAGAGTGAGTTGGTCAATCCACAGGAGCCACGCTGGCTCAGCTCTGTGCCTACAGGAAATCAACAGAATCCAGCAGAGCCTGTTTTTGTTGTTTTTAAAAATCACGTGATGGTGAGATAAACTAGGCTAATAAAACATTCTTTTCTGTTTTATAACAAATTTATCAGAGCAGACCTAAGACAGAGCGACCTCTATAAACCAATCCCATGAGGATGCTAGACTACGGGGTAAATAGAATTCTTGGCATCCAGGGTGACTGGCCGGCACTGAGGTTTCTTACCCTAGATAGGGGCCTGGCTGACTGGCCATTGTGTGGACACCAAGGAGCCACCCTTGGCCTGAGACTTTGTGGGGGTGGAGGCAAGAACGCTTTCATTTTCCATTCTTTCTTCTGTTCAACACCCAAAAGAAACAAAGCAAGCAGTACAGAGTGGGGTTTCCCCACAGCACCCCTGCTCCGTCCTCCTTTAGGGATGCCTGCTCCTCTCCTGGCAGAGACGGAGGTGTCCCTAGTTAAGGTATCCAGGGCCACTGCCAAGGCCTCGATCAGCTAAACTCACAGGGCGTCCATCTCTCCAGTTGTTAGCGAGAGCTGGGAGAGAGGTGGAGGCGAAGCTCAGGCAGCTGTGGGAGGAGAAAGAAAAGAACCAGATGTTAAGACACTAAGAAGACTCAGGACGTGCCCCGGGACCTCTCACTCTGACAGGTTGTGATAGTAACACAGCAGAGGACATAAACCTCCTCCTAAAAATTAGTTTTTAGAGAGAACGCTTAGCACAGGGGCACCTGGAACTTCTGTTCCAAATCTAGAAGTGTAAGAACAACCAGCTGGAACCAACACAAGCCTGTGGAGCAAGTGGGGTTCCCCTCAGGGTCCCATAGCGAGTGGGGGCTTACCACCCTCAGCTGGCAACTGCCCACCCCTGCCAGAAAGACTCTCAGTCCAGACTTACCCTAATCACCCCCCAAAACCCCCAGTGCAGCTTCCTGTTCTCCAGCTCCTCTTGCTGTTTTTTTTGCAAGGTCAAAAGCCAGGAACAACCTTTCTAAACCCTGAGATTTTCACTGGGTGGTGAGAGTTTGGATCTGTGTCCCTGCCAAATCTCATGTTGAGATGTGATCCCAGTGTTGGCGCTGGGGCCTGGTGGGGGGTGTTTGGGTCATGGGGTGGGTCCCTCCTGGCTGGGTGCTGTCCTCACCATAGTGAGTGAGTTCTTGCAAGATCTGGCTATTTAAAGTCTGTGGTGCCTCTGGCTCTCGCTCTTGCCCTGGGAGGCGCCTGCTCTTGGTTCATCCTGTGCCGTGAGGAAAAGCTCCTTGAGGCCTCCCCAGAAACTGCACAGAGGCCGGCACTGTACCTTTCCAGCCTGCAGAACCATGAGCCAGTTACAGGGTTTTTGTATCTTGGAAGTAAATAGCTTGTTTTGATTTTACAGATGAAGCGGTGAGAGGAACTCATCCCCAGATGAGACTTTGCTCTTGGACGTGGGACTGGAGTTAGCGCTGGAATAAGTGAAGACTGGGGAAGGGTTGGAAAGGCATTATTGAATTTTGCAATGTGAGTGAGATTAGAGGGCCCAGCAGCAGAATGACATCGTCTGGATGTGTGTCTGCATCTGACTCTCATGTTGAAATGTAATCCCCAGGATTAGAGGTGGAGCCTGGTGGGAGGTGTTTGGGTGCTGTCCTTGCAGTAGCGAGTTGATGCAAGATCTGGTTGTTTAAAGTGTGTGGCCCTTCCCCTGACCCTCTTGCGCCTGATCTGGCCACATGACGTGCCTGCTCCTGCTTCACCTTCTGCCATGAGTAAAAGTTCCTTGAGGCCTCCCCACAAGCTAAGCAGATGCTGGCACCGTGCTTCCTGTACAGCCTGCAGAATGGTGAGTCAATTAACCCTATTTTTTTAAATAAATTACCCAACCACAGGTATTTCTTTATTGCAGTACAAGAAGAACAGCCTAGTACAGGTAACTAGTTCAAGGTCAAGTGCAACAGTAATACAGAAAAACAAACAGAGGCATTGAGGAACAGGAGAAATGCGGATGGAGTGTCAGATCCCACTCAGATGGTGAAGGGGGATTCATGCCCAAAGTCAGCCTCCGCGCACCTGGATGGCAAATGGACTACAGCAGGCTGCCCTGCTCTGTGGGGAAAGGAGGGCGGAATTCATTCTGGGAGGGAGGATTAAGTTGTGCCCTTCCCTTTGTCAGACCCCTGCTGTCAGGGCCACACCATCAGGTCAGGGTGTCAGGTCAGTCTTTGATTGGAGACCAGGGCTCAGCTGCTTTTCCCGGCGAGAGGAGGAGGCTCTTGCTGAATCTGAACTATTCTTTCCTTACAACAATCACTGTTTTCCCTTTTTTTTCCCTGTAGCTTATTCCCTTCTTCCACTTTTCTTTTCTTTTTTAAAAATATATATACGTATATTTTATTGGACTTTAGGTTCTGGGGTGCATGTGCAGAACATGCAGGATTATTGCATAGGTACATACAATGTGGTTTGCTGCCTCCATCCCCCCGTCACCTATATCTGGCATTTCTCCCCATGTTATCTCTCTCCAACCTCCCGACCCACTGCTGTCCCTCCCCTATTACCCCCCAACAGACCCCAGTGTGTGGTGCTCCCCAATGTGTGTGTCCCACAGAGCTGAGCTGGATCAGGCTTCAGTCTTCTGGGTGCAGGGCAGCCGGGGAGATCATGAGCGGCTCATCAGCACCACCTGCCGGACTCAGTTCTTAATCAGCTCATAAATGAGCATTGCTCACCTTGACCTTGATTTTAACCACTGTGTAGCTTCCTCTATGACAGTTCTCATACTCAATGTATTTGTATTGCCAAATAGAGGTTGTATAGCTATGATTATTTTTTTTTCAGACAGAGTCTCGCCCTGTTGCTCCAGGGTGTAGTGCAGCAATCTCAGCTCATGGCAACCTCTGCCTCCCAGATTCAAGGGATTCTCCTGCCTCAGCCTCCCGAGTAGCTGGGACTACAGACATGTGCTACCATGCCCAGCTAATTTTTTGTATTTTTTGTAGAGATGGGCTTTCACCATGTTGGCCAAGATGGTCTTGATCTCTTGACCTTGTGATTTGCCCACTTTGGCCTCCCAAAGTCCTGGGATTACAGGTGTGAGCCTCTGCACCCAGCCTAGCTATGATTACTTTTATAACGACTGTATTGTGATATAATTCTTATACTTCACAACTGGCCCATTTAAAGTGTACAATTTTAATGGTTTTTAGTATATTCAGAACTGTACAACCGTTGCCACAAAATTTGTTTTATGACATTTTCATCACCCAAGACGCCCCTATTCATTAGCACTCCCTTCCTATTTTCCCAGCAGTAACCAACAATCTACTTTCTGTCTCTATGAATTTACCTACTGTGGACTGTTATGTACATGGAATCGCCATACATGGCTGCTGTGTCTGGCTTATTTCACTTCACACAATGCGTTTAAAGTTTGTGTACGTTGTAGCGTGTGTCAGTACTTCATTCCTTTTTACGTAAGATGAAAATAATCTTGTATCGCCAAATAATATTTCAGTGAAATATACCACATTTTATTTATCCATTCGTTCGTTAATGAGCATTTGTCTTGTTTCTGCCTTTTGGCTACTATGAATAATGCCGCTATACATATCCATGTACCAGTTTTTGCGTGGACATATGTTTTCCCTTGTCTTGGATATGTACTCAAAAGTAGAATTGCTGGGTCATATGGTGACTCTGTGTTTAATTGATTAAGTAACTTTCAGACTGTTTTCCACAGTGGCTGCACGCTTTTGCATTCCCATCAGCAGTACATGAAGGTTCCAATTTCTCTATATCTTTGACATAACTTGTTAGTATCTGGCTTTTTCCTTCTAGCCATCCAAGTGGGTAGAAAGTGGTATCTCCTGTGGTTTGATTTGTGTTTTCCTGATGGCTAATGACGCTGAGTCTCTTTCCATGTGTTTATTGGCCATTTGGGTATTTTCTTTGAGGAAACGTTTATTCAATTCCTTTGCACATTTTCAATTGGGCTATTCGTCTTTTATTACTGAATCATGCTTGTTATTTATATCCTCAACGTAAGTCCTTTATCAAAAATATGATTTGCAACCCCCCACCTGCATTCTATGGGTTGTCTTTCCATTTTCTTGATGGTGTTCTTTGAAGCACAAATGTTTTGATTTTTAATGAGTCCTATTTATCCATCTTGTCTTTTGCTGCCATATCTAAGAAACCATCACCCGATCCGAAGGTAGGAAGATTGACAGCTTTTTTAAAAAGAGTTTTATGGTTTTAATACTTTCATTTAGGTCTTTGATCATTTTGGGTTAGTTCTTATATATAGTGTGAGAAAGGGAGTGAAACTTTGTCCTTTGCATGTAGACATTCAATTGTCCCAGCACCATTTATTGAAAAGGCTATTTTCCCCCCACTGAACGATCTCCTCACCCTTGATGAAAATCAGTTGATCATTAATGTGAGGATTTATTTCTTGATTTTTAGTTCTATTTGATGATATGTATGCATGTCCTTAAGCCAGTTCACTCTCCAGATTGTGGGTAATTATTCTTAAACTTTATAATTTCTCTCGATTATTCTCCAGCGAAATTCAGACTCTCTTATTAGAAAGTTTTGATGCATTCTCCTACTTCAAAAAGAGGAAACTTCCAGAGGTTAAAACTTCTGGCTGAGTGCCTGCCCTTCTCCAAGCTTACCCTTCCGCCTCGTCAGAGTTCAGCACCAGTTTCCTCCCAGACGCTGCTGTTGACTGTCCCTACCCCACAATGGGACAGGGTCTGCATTTCACAGCACATCTGACTGCCCTCCTGGCAGCTGGTGAGCCCTCTGTCTGCTCAGAGCCACACATTTTTTTATAGCCCTTTGGTTGGGTCCTTGGCCACTGTGAGGCTCCCACTCCATGACAGAGGAATTCAGGCTGCGAGAGGAAACTGAAGGAGCCGTGCTGGAGCCTGGCAGGGCTGAACTTGGTGGTGGCCCTCCCGACTGTTAGGCTGTGGTCTCCCCGTGATGCCACCCCAGCTGCGCTGCTCTATGCGCATTCCCTCACCCAGCATTGGCTCTCTCTCTGCCACCTTGTTTTGTGAATGCAGGTTCTCTGTGTTCGCTCAGATTTTATGCCCGCTGAATCCTAGCTGGAAAGTTCTTGAAGCCTGAACACCCCTGTAGCATTTCAGTGGTGATCCAACAGAAGGCAGAACAGCCTGCAAGTGGCTCTCCTGTTGGGCATGGGATGGCCTGAGCCCAGGTGCTGAGTGACACTCTGGTTAGGGAGACACACTCTTTCTTGCTGTCTCGGACATTTTCAGCAGGACTAGACATTTTGTTGGGGTGAATTCCTAGAAGAGACAACACAGCTCCCTGCGCACAAATTCATTCAGATGCACTGTGCAGTGTGTTGGGGGTGGGGCGGCTCCTCAGTTTGGATGCTCCCCAGCTCACCTTCGCTCTGTGGGGGCTTGAGGCCAAGAGATGCACGGAGGCATGGAGGAAGATTCAGCAATGCATTTGGGAACAGATGAAAGTGATGGAGGGGTCCTGCATGGTACCCCGACAAGGGAGGAGGGCTGCTGGTAGAGGCAGGTGGGCTCCATCATGTAGACCTGGGGGTCGTGGGGATATTTGCTTTACCCCAAGGGCAATGGGACCTCTTGGAAGAGTTAAAACAGGGAGCCTTGCGATCTGCCCCACCTTTAAAAAGATCACCCAGGCTGCTTTGTGGAGAGTAATTAAGAGAAAATCATGAAAATGACAGGTTGAAAAGTAAAATAACCAACTGCTTTTCATATAGCCTTGCAGATGCTCCATTGTAAAATAAGCAACGCCAGGAAGAGGGGGCACGTCTGTGATGAGCGTCCTCTTGCTGTGAGCACATCTGTCTCTCAAGGCCAGGGCGGCCTCCTCCAGGTCTGAGACTTCACCAGCCTAGTTCCTCTGGTTCTCCCCACAGCCCCTGCTCACCTCCACCTACGGAGAAGTGGGCATTTAAAGAATCACAGATTAAAATATTCATCATTTTATAATGTAAAATATCTCAACCATTTAAAACAATAAAAGATGGGATTTTTGAGACAAAAATAACAGAGACAGTCTGGGTTAAATTCTCCCCTCCTTCCTCCTGCTGCAGGAGGGTGGGGTTGGCTTCTAAAGTGGAGCCCAGCTGGTCTCCTGGGGATAGCTGGTGGCTTTCCCAGCCAAGAACCTCATGTAGGGGGTCTGACCAAGGGCTATAGCCCCTGTGGCACTTCCCACCCTCGATCCCTCCCTCCTCTTCTCCAGCCTGGGTCTGCACCGGGGGAGACGTGGCTGATGGCCCCTCCAGACACGCAGTTGACCCCTGCCCTGATGCCAGCAGCTCCCACTCCAGACAGTGCTCTGGGGGAAGGGGGCTCTGTGAAGGGGTGAGCATTGCCCACTTTGCCACAGGACCTTCCTGTTGGGGGTCAAGGAGGAATGCTGGTTCTCAAGCTCCCAAAGACACCCAGGTGGAGTCATCCAAGGTGCGGATGGGCTGGGAGACTGAGAAGGGGTCAGGGAGGAGAAAGGCGAGAGGAGACAAGGAGGAGACCTCAAATATCCACCCACCTCGACTTCCCAAAGTACTGGGATCACAGGCATGAGCCACCAGCTCAGACCTTTCTCTTCCTTCCTTGTTAAAGTACTGTGACTTCAGGAGCCAGCAGAAAGAAGCCCGCAACACTGGATTTTAGGCATTGCTCAGAAATTCTTTCGTCTAACGCAGTGGCTCATCACACATGGAAGACTTTTGGGTGTTTGGTTTTGGTTTTGCCTCACTCTTCTCTCTCACGAATCGCCCTTCACTCCTGACCTGCAGAACTGGCCTCCCTGAGGGCCAGGAGGAAACAGAATGACATTATTTCAAGATGAGCTTGTTAACTTGCTTTCTATCCTACTAAAATTCTTTAGCATTGGAAATAAAGTGTTTGGGGAAAGACAAAGCAAAAAATACATATCTGGTTCTACCACCTTTTGTTATTTTATTCCGACTGACTGGAGGCAGCTGTGTGAGATAACACACATTCTCGAGGAATGTGAAAGGTCCAAGTCCAGCAACGGGTGTTGACTTTCAGTCGTTCCTCTCGTGTCAAACCCTTCCAGGCTGCGTCGCTGCTGGCTCTGCTACTGCTGCTGGAGGGAGGCATGTTCTCCTCGTCCTCCCCACCCCCGGTGCCGCTAGAGAAAGTCTTCCAGTACATTGACCTCCACCAGGATGAATTTGTGCAGGTAGGAGAAAGAAACTACGCACAGAAATCTTGGATGATATCCTTGGTGTTTGGGTGGGACAATGACTTGCTTGGAGATGTGGATTTTTTTGCCTAATTCCATTTAAAATGACTGTTGGGTTAAAAACCATCAGTATTCATGAGATGGATGGAAGAGATCCCTCCCAGCCATTCCTCCCATGAAGGGCACTCTCTGCTCATATCCAGCACTTGGTTCAGGGCTGTCCACATAGAACCAGCACGTCCGCTGAGCTCAAGTCCACCCTGCTCCATCAGGTCGCCCATTCCTGATGCCGCCTGCATTACTGTAAGGCCTGTGCAGAGCTGAGGAGCCCGGGAGCTCTGCAAAGTTCAACAGCAACATGGTTTGTTTTGTAGCATGTGTACCAGAGGCACTTTATCGCCTCCATTTATTTTTTGTTTTATTTTATTTATCTATTTATTTATTTTGAGACAGAGTCTCACTCTGTCACCCAGGCTGGAGTGCAGTGGTGAGATCTGGGCTCACTGCAACCTCCCAGGTTCAGGTGATTCTCCTACCTCAGCCTCAGCCTTCCAAGTAGCTGGGATTACAGGCACCTGCCAACACACCCAGCTACATTTTGTGTCTTCTCAGTAGAGACAGGGTTTCACCCTGTTGGGCAGGCTGGTTTTGAACTCCTGACCTCAAGGAATCTGCTCCCATCAGCCTCCCAAAGTGTTGGCATTGCAGGCATGAGCCACTGTGTTTGGTCTTGCTCCATCACCCATGCTGGAGTGTAGTGGCACAAACACAGCTGACTGCAGCCTCGATCACCTGTGATCAAGTGATCCTTCTGCCTCAGCCTTCCAAGTTTATAATCCTCTGCTTAATCCCTAATTCACCATATGGCGTCTGTACATATACAGGGTCTGGGGCAGGGGTAAAGTAGAGGGGAGGGTGAGGAGGAATGGCAAAAAGAGGGAGGCCTGGGGAGCAGGAGGAGGAGGGGGAGTGGGGGAGCAGGAGGAGGAGAGGGAGGAGACAGGAGGAGGAGTGGGGGAGGAGCAGGAGACAGGAGGAGGAGTGGGAGAGCAGGGGGAGGAGGGGGACGGGGGGAGGAGCAGGAGTAGGAGGGAGAGAGTAGAGAAGGAGAGGGAGGAGACAGGAGAAGGAGTGGGGGAGGAGCAGGAGACCAGGAGAAGGAGTGGGGGAGGAGCAGGAGACAAGAAGAGGAGGGGGAGAGTAGGAGAAGGAGAGGGAGGAGACAGGAAGAGGAGTGGGAGAGCAGGGGAAGGAGCAGGAGACAGGAGGAGGAGCGGGAGAGTAGGAGGAGGAGCGAGAGAGTAGGAGCTTGATGTAGCCACAGACTCACCAGCTCCTCCCCACTCCTACTCTCCTAGGCTCTCATGCCCACTCTGTGGCCATCTGGTCACCCCCTCCACCAGCCTCCCACACATGTGCACACTGGTGTGTTGTTACCTGTGCTCACCAGACTAGATGTTCCCTGGGGTCCCCCGGGACTTTGTACCTCAAGCCCCCACCTCCTGTCTGGCACAGGACAGGCATTCAGGAGACATTTATTGGATCAATCAACCAAATTTAGGAAAACTATCATGCAATTAGGCTAAAGGCACGAGGCGGAATTCCAGCCCACTCTTCCTAAATCTGACCCTCGTGTAACCCTTCCTCTTACTGAAATATTAACCAGTCATCAATGCCTCTTAGATTTTTGAAAGCTGAGTGGGGTTTCCAGAATCGGTGTGTGGTGGGGATTTAATCCTGGTCCGGGCCTTTCAGCCAAACATCTCCTCTTCCTAAGTCCCTCAAACATACCCACATCCACTGGACTTGGGGAGAAACCAGCAGCCTCTGCTCTGTAAATTCCAGTTTAAAAATGTACAGCACAATATTCCTTAGGGTTAAATAAGTGCCTTCATAATAAAAATGAAAGTGCTACAACCAGGATAGAGAGATCAAACTCAAGTCAGGAAGAGAAGTCCACGATCAGTCATTCAGAATATGCATTGTTTTTCATAAAAATGCTGACTGTCTCGGGGTGAGCCGCGCCGGCTCCCACACCGGCGTGTGAATGGTCCTTCTTAGTCGTTCAGCATCAGCAGCGCTGCTGGAGTGGCCGCCAGGTGCCAGGCGCCATGCTGAGTCTTTTGCACACGTTACCTCAGTGGGCCTCACCATCACCCTGTAGTTAAGTAGTGTTACTTTCTCAGGCAGATGAGAAAACTCAGGCTCAGGGATGTTAAGGAATACACCCAAAGTCACACAGCTATGACAGGCTGAGTTTAAGCCCAAGGTCACAATGCCGGTGGGATCCTGGAGGTGCAGGGAGGGTCAGGTCAGAGAATCTAAATGCAGAGCGTGTCAGGAGGGCCCTGTGGCCCAGTGAGGCCACTGTGGGTTCAGTCACGGCCTGGAGGCCTCCATTTGTGAAAAGCCGGAAGTCCTGGAGAAAGCTGACAGCCCGCCAGCTGTTCAGTTCTTAATGATTAGAAGCAGTGGGTAGGGACTTGCCCTTTTCTGCAGCCCTGGTGAACCCAGGGAGGACCTGGCCGGCACCTCTCCTGCAGCCCGCCCTGCCTGATCTTCTGTATTCACCAGGCATCGCTGGCCTCCGGGTTCCTGATTAAACCCCAGCTCTTCTGTCTGTTACTCTTGAACATCACAGTGCTCACTGGCACCGTCATGGGTAGCACCTCGGACTTACTGTCTCCTGTGCTCCCCTCGCTCCCGCCCAGAGTGGATATGGAACCCCCATGCTAATGCCCTGTTTGCTCTTCCTCCTAGATGCTGAAGGAGTGGGTGGCCATTGAGAGCGACTCTGTCCAGCCCGTGCCTCACTTCAGACAAGAGCTCTCCAGAATGATGGCGGTGGCTGCGGACACACTGCAGCGCCTGGGGGCCCATGTGGCCTCAGTGGACATGGGTTCTCAGCAGGTGCTGTGGGGTTCCCTCCCACCGAGGGAGCTGACCCTTCTAGACATCAGTCGCCCCTTCCTGGGGGTGGCAAGGGAGAGGTTCATCCTGATCCTCCACCAAACCCCCTGTAACCCACTTCCCAGTGAAGACGAAACCCCACTTCCCAGTGAAGACGAAACCCCACTTCCCAGTGAAGACGAAACCCCACTTCCCAGTGAAGACGAGCATTCCACCTGGTCTCAGATGAGACCGTGTTATTGCTTTCCAGTCATATCAGGACTCCAGGGGTTTGCTGGGCTTGTAGAAGCTGGTGCAGATGGCAAGTGAAGGTCACCTTATAACGGAAAGGACCCCCTTGTACTCTTCCCTTTCTGCACACATGGTTCAAATCTCTCCTTTAAGAAAAGGAAATTGTCATTTTCTTTAAATTCATATGCATCTTTCTCGAAGGGGCCATATCTAGAGCTGCATTTTTTTAAAAAAATCAGAACCGGCCGGGCGCGGTGGCTCAAGCCTGTAATCCCAGCACTTTGGGAGGCCGAGGCGGGTGGATCATGATGTCAAGAGATCGAGACCATCCTGGTCAACATGGTGAAACCCCGTCTCTACTAAAAATACAAAAAATTGGCTGGGCATGGTGGCGCGTGCCTGTAATCCCAGCTACTTGGGAGGCTGAGGCAGGAGAATTGCCTGAACCCAGGAGGTGGAGGTTGCAGTGAGCCGAGATTGCGCCATTGCACTCCAGCCTGGGTAACAAGAGCGAAAATCCGTCTCAAAAAAAAAAAAATCAGAACCATCTCCTAAAACGCCACTCAATCATAAATATCTTAAATCTAAGCACCCGATGCACTTATCTTAGCGCTGAGGAACCTCAGGATCGTCCACGTTTTCCAGGATTTGTCCACCTAATGTAATCCAATTGCCATGTGCATTCTCACTGAAGAGCACATCCGGCTCATGATGCTCAGTAAAGAAGCACTTCCCCGGCCTGCGCGGCAGCTCGGCCTGTAATCCCAGCACTTCTGGAGGCCAAGGCGGGCAGATCACCTGAGGTCGGGAGTTGGAGACCAGCCTGACCAACTTGGGGAAACTCTGTCTCTACTAAAAGTACAAAAATTAGCCGGGCGTGGTGGTGCACGCCTGCAGTCCCAGCTACTCCGAAGGCTGAGGCAGGAGAATCTCTTGAACCTGGGAGGCGGAGGTTGTGGTGAGCTAAGATGGCGCCATTGCACTCCAGCCTGGATGTCAGAGCGAGACTCCATCTCAAAAAAACAAAACAAAACAAAACACTTTACTTTTAATGAGGTTTTGTATCTTAATTAAAAGTGTCTCAGCTGGGTGCAGTGTCTCATGCTTGAAATCTCAGCACTTTGGGAGGTCGAGGTGGGTGGATCACTTGAGCCTGGGAGTTTGAGACTAACCTGGGCAACATGGCTCTACCAAAAAGAAAAAATTAGCTAGACATGGTGGTGAGTGTCTGTAGTCTCAACTACTTGGGAGGAGGCTGAGGTGGGAGAGTCACCTGAGCCTGAGGTGCACCACTGCACTCCAGCCTGGGTGATGGGAGTGAGGCCCTGTCTCCTACAGAAAAAAAAAAAAGTGTTTTATGAGGCTCATTTTAGAGATGGAGAAACTGATGCTCAGAAAAATGATGTGGACTCTCCAAGGACCCAGGGATAGCCTGGCCGGAACGCCTAACGTCATGTCTTTGAATTTTCTGAAAGGACAACACAGGCTTTTAAAAAATGATTTCTTATTATTCTGCAGCTGCCTGATGGTCAGAGTCTTCCAATACCTCCCGTCATCCTGGCCGAACTGGGGAACGATCCCACCAAAGCCACCGTGTGCTTCTATGGCCACCTGGACGTGCAGCCTGCCGACCGGGCTGATGGGTGGCTGACGGACCCCTACATGCTGACGGAGGTGGATGGTCAGTGGGGAGCTCGGGCTGCAGTGCACTGCTGCTGTGCATGGACAGGGGCTTGCTTGCAAGATTGAAGGGGTAAAGATGCGGCTCTGTCCCTGGACTTCGGGTCTCTCCCTGCCATTAAAAATGCATAGGCCAGGTGCAGTGGCTCACACTTGTAATCCCAGCACTTTGGGAGGCTGAGGCAGGTGGCTTACTTGAGGTCAGGAGTTCAAGACTAGCCTGGCCAACATAGCAAAACCCCATCTGTGCTAAAAATACAAAAAATTAGCTAGGAATGGTGGTGGGAGAGTGAGGCAGGAGAATTGCTTGAACCTAGGAAGTGGAGGTTGCAGTGAACTGAGATTGCACCACTGCACTCCAGCCTGGGCAATGGAGCAAGACTCCATCTTAAAAAAAAAAAAAAAAAAAGAATGCAAGAAAGGCGGCTCTCATAGTCTCCCGATGGGTTCATTGAGGCTGTTCTTTCTTTGTGAAAAAGAGCTATAAGCCTCTGTGCCTCTGGATGGAGGTTCTTGGGTTGTGAGGAAAGTAGTGGTCTGGGTCACACATTTTCTCTTTTAACAGTATCAAACGTAATTTGCATTTTATAAAGAAAAAAAGAAAGGTTAGCAGAGATATACACGTATCTTTGTTTCATTCTTCTACTAACTGTAAAATCTCAAAATGAGAGGCTATGCCACGTGGCATTCTACAGCAAATCCCCAGTGGGTCTCTTTGGTGAACTTGGATAAAATAGCTAATTCTTATTAAGGCCAGTGGGATCTGTCTATTGCGAATTAGCTTATCTTATCTGACTAGCTGAGGACACTATTTGTCAGGGAAGAGATCCAAGGATGTCTTATGTACAGTCTTATTTGTACATAAAAAATCCAACTTTGCAATTTCATAGCGAGATTTTTAAATTTATATTATTATATAAAGCGCTGCTAACATTATTGCCCATGAAACAACATTGGTTTTTCACTCACCTGGCAGAGGCTCCACACTTCTCTGAACATTCTTCTTCCCTTTTTAAAGGGAAACTTTACGGACGAGGAGCAACTGACAACAAAGGCCCTGTCTTGGCTTGGATCAATGCTGTGAGCGCTTTCCGAGCCCTGGAGCAAGTAGGTGGCAGCTGTGTCTGGGAGAGAGGAAGGGGAGGGTGGTAACTACCTGAGCAAACTGTCCTGAGCAAACTGCCCTGTCTTGGCTTGGATCAATGCTGTGAGCGCTTTCCGAGCCCTGGAGCAAGTAGGTGGCAGCTGTGTCTGGGAGAGAGGAAGGGGAGGGTGGTAACTACCTGAGCAAACTGTCCTGAGCAAACTGCCCTGTCTTGGCTTGGATCAATGCTGTGAGCGCTTTCCGAGCCCTGGAGCAAGTAGGTGGCAGCTGTGTCTGGGAGAGAGGAAGGGGAGGGTGGTAACTACCTGAGCAAACTGTCCTGAGCAAACTGCCTTCAGTCACCTGCTCTGCCCAGCAGTCTTTGGAGGGTGTGCTACAATTGCGTCCATTTTACAGATAAGGAGAGTAAGGCTTGGGAAGATCAGGGAACTCACCCAAAGTGGTGCAGCTAGTGGCAAGGCTGACACCTCAGGGACGGATTCCAGCCTGCACTGTTAACCATGTTAAAAGACAGGACACAGCCAAAGACACAACAGGGCTGTGGCCAAGCTGCTATCTGATGGGACTTGGCTTTTTTTCTTTAATCTTTATTTTATCTTGTCTTGTCTTGTTTTGCCATCCCTTTTCTTCTTATCACAAAGTATGATTTGCTGGCAGAGACACACGCACATTTTTAAAATGTATCAGCTACTTTGCAAATGATCAAGATAGGAATCTCCATGACATTCCGCTGGAATCCTTGGATCTCTTCCCTGAGAGCATGGTGGTTCTCTTCAATGGTCCAAATAAGGGCCCTGGAGCGGAGGCAGGGGTACAGATTTGAGGAGGCGGGTCCCCTCCTTCCAACCTCCGTAGGACATTGGAGATGGACCCAGGTTTGCACCTTGAACTATCTCGTGTTTCAACACAAGGATGGTTTTATCTCAAGCCACTCTTCTCCTGTCTCCTAATCAATGTGCTTGGACACTGGCAGAGGATCGGCTCAAGCTGTGCAGCCTTGGGCAAATGACTTGATCTCTTCCGGCCTTGGATTCTGTTCTGTGAAAATGTGTGCACCCCTCCAGGTCAGCCTTGGGGTCTGCTTCCATCTCCCCTGTCCTGGGCGCCGCCTCAGCTTTGTCCAAGGCTGCAAGGCTCTGAGGGCTGAGGGGCCACCCCGGCAGCCTGTCCTGCAGAGCAGACCTAGGCTTCTGGGGTGTCTTTTCCTGAGGGTTATTTCATCAGGTGTCAGGTGTTTTGCTCTCAGAAGTTTATTTTCTCCTGAGACATAAGCAGATGGGAGGGGACCTCAGTACTCTGACTCCACTACTGAATCTCACAGAAGACAGGCTCATAAAATCAGCACAGGTCTTGGCAGGGTCCTACTGACCACTGCAGAGGCGCCTTCTCATCCGTGACGCTTGAACCACATACGCACTGAGCTTTCCATGGGGCTTTGGTTTCTCTCTCTGTCTGCCTCTCTCTTTTTTCCTCTCTCCTTTCTTTCTCTCTCCCTCTCTTTCTTCTTCTCTGTCCTTCTCACTCCTTCTAAGGAATAGCAATCTTTATAAGACTGTTGCGATAAAAAGGCCAAAATCTGTTTTACTTTTTAAATTTTGACTCTGAAAATTACATAATCACAAAGGAAACAGAAGAAATACTCCCTGCCCTTGGACAAGTCAGTTCATCTCTGAGCCTCACTTTTCTTATCTGTGAAGTGGGACTGATTGTTTCTACCTCACAGGCTTGCAGGGATTCAGTGAAGAAACATCTACGTGTGCTAGTACTTGAGGTCCTTCTTCTCTTCCTGCTTTGCCTGCAGAGCTCTTAGAACACATTACCTCCCTGGACTATTTTCTAGGAGGCAGAGTGAGCACCACTATCCATATTTCACAGGTAGAGCATTGAGCTGCCAAGGGGAGGCTTGGCAGACCCAGCAGCTAATGCATGCACCCTGCATGCTGAGTGCTCTGGGTTTGCATTTTATTAAATGTGACTTGCCAGAAAATTCTTAGGATTTCCAAGTACTTCTCAGCAATTGTTTGCTAGTTCAGTGTTCATACAGAATCCTTGGATATTCAGATTTCAGAACTTCAGATGAGCTCCCTAAGACACACAGAAGCACAAGGGATTTGAACAAATCACTGTCCCCAAATGCTCTTATCCAAATGGATGAACGATTTTCTAATTTCCTCATTTTAATTGCTACATATTATTTTCTGATATATAACCTGTGCTTATGTTGCATTTGTTAATCTGTGGTGAGTCAAGCCCACTTATTGGAACTGATTACAGTGTCGTGCTGTGCCGTTTATCTGCATGTAATCACTTTTAGAGCTCTACATGCATGCTGTGCCCTAGGAAAAGACTTTGACCTCTCAACTTCATGTGGGTCTCAAAGATAGGAAGTTATAAATTATAAAGATACAAGAAGATCAAAACCAAATGGGGAAGAAGCATGTTGTAAAAATTTGAAAGGAGCTATTCCATGCCCTAATATTAACTAGAAAAAAAACCCAAGTTCCATTTTGCTGCAAGATCAAAGCCTTTGAATAAGTTAAAAGGCAGATTGAAATCATAGCTGAAAAATAACAGATACTTGAAGTAAAACTTAGCCTGAGGCTTCACACTCTTTCAAAGGCAAAAGTTCTCCTTTTTCATGCTCAGAATTATGAGGGCAGAAAAGCGATTTGTAATTGCCTAACCTTTCTTGAAAAAGTCCTTTTGGGGAGAAGGAGAAAAATGCCTCCCTATGTAGCCACACAGAGGGTGTATTGAGAATTTGCTTTTCCGTAAATGCTCCTTTCCCCAATTCGTGATCATAGCAATAAATTGGCAGACCATGTTGGAGGGCACACACCGGGCATTGCCTTGAACTCTCTGTCACAATCGTGGTGATGCCATTGCTGAAGCAGAACTGTGGGGAATGCAAATTCATACATTGAATGTGAATAATAATTTCATGTATTTATGTTATATATAAACAAATAGTGTATCTTCAAAGCTGAATGGGCAATGTATTAGTCTGTTTTCACACTGCTGATAAAGACATACCTGAGACTGAGAAGAAAATGAGGTTTAACTGGACTTACAGTTCCTCATGGCTGGAGAGGTCTCAGAATCATGGCAGGAGGAGAAAGGCACTTCTTACATGGTGGCAGCAAGGGAAAATGAGGAAGAAGCAAAAGTGGAAACTCCTCATCAGCCCATCAGATCTTGTGAGACTTGTTCACTGTCACAAGAATAGCATGGGAAAGACTGGTCCCCATGATTCAGTTACCTCCCCCTGGGTCCCTCCTACAACATGTGGGCGATACAGTTGAAGTTGAGATTTGGTGGGAACACAGGCAAACCATATCATTCCACCCCTGATGCCTCCAAATCTCATGTCCTCACATTTTAAAACCAACCGTGCCTTCCCAACAGTCCCCCAAAGTCTTTAACTCATTTCACCATTAACCTGAAAGTCCACAGTCCAAAGTCTCATCTGAGACAAAGTAATTCCCTTCCACCTGTGAGCCTGTAAAATCAAAAGCGAGCTAGCTACTTTCTACATACAATGTGAGTTCAGGTATTGGGTAAATACAGCCATTCCAAATAGGAGAAATTTGTCAGAACAAAGGGGTTACAGAGCCCATGCAAGTCTGAAATCCAGGGGTCAAACTTTAGAGCTCCAAAATGATCTCCCTTGACCCAAGGTCTCACATTCAGGTTACGCTGATGCTAGAGGTGGGTTCCCATGGTCTTGGGCAGCTCTGCTCCTGTGGCTTTGCAAGGTACAGCCTCCCTCCCAGCTGCTTTCATGGGCTGGCATTGAGTGTCTGCAGCTTTTCCAGGCATATGGTTCAAGCTGTCAGTGGATCTACCATTCTGAGGTCTGGAGGACCATGGCCTCTTCTCACAGCTCCAGTAAGCAGCACCCCACTAAGGACTCCATATGGGGGCTCCGATGCCACATTTCCCTTTCTCACTGCCCTAGCAGAGTCTCTCCATGAGGGCCCCTCCCCTGCAGCAAACTTTTGCCTGGGCATCCAGGCATTTCCAAACATCTTCTGAAATCCAGGTGGAGGTTCCCAAACCTTAATCCTTGACTTCTGTGAACCCACAGGCTCAACACCACATGGAAAATGCCAAGGTGTGGGGCTTCCATCCTCTGAAGCTGTACATTGGCTCCTTTCAGCCATAGCTGGAGCAGCTGGGACATAGGGCACAAGTCCCTAGGCTGCATGCAGGACGGGGACCCTGGGCCTGGCCCATGAAACTATTTTTTCCTCCTGGGCCTCTGGGCCTGTGATGGGAGGGGCTGCCATGAAGGTGTCTAACATGGCCTGGAGACTTTTCCTGATGGTCTTGGGGATTAACATTAGGCTCCTTGCTACTTAGGCAAATTTCTGTAGCCAGCCTGAATTTCTCCCCAGAAAATGAGTTTTTCTTTTCTATCTTTTCTATCTGAACATTTATGCTCTGTTTCCCTTTAAAAATCGAATGCCCTTAACTGCACCCAAGTCACCTCTTGAATGCTTTGCTGCTTTGAAACTTTTTCTGCTGGATACCTTAAGTCATCTCTCTCAAGTTCAAAGTTCTACAATCTCTACAGCAGGGGTGAAACATAACAAGAGTCACCTTCACTTTAGTTCCTAACGAGTTCCGCATCTCTATCTGAGGCCACCTCAGCTTGGACCTTATTGTCCTTATTGCTATCAGCATTTTGGGCAAAGACATTCAACAAGTCCCTAGGAAGCTCCAAACTTGCCCACATTTTCGTGCCTTCTGAGCCCTTCAAACTGTTCCAACCTCTGCCTGTTACCCAGTTCTAAAGTCGCTTCCACATTTTTGGGTATCTTTTCACCAATGACCCACTCTACTGGTACCAATTTACTGTATTAGTCCATTTTCATGCTGCTGATAAAGACATACCTGAGGCTGGAAGAAAAAGGGGTTTAATTGGACTTACAGTTCCACAGGCTGGGGAGGACTCAGAATCATGGCGGGAGGCAAAAGGCACTTCTTATGTGGCAGCAGCAAGAAAAAATGAGGAAGAAGTGAACCCCTGAGAAACCCATTAGGTCTCATGAGACATACCATCATGAGAATAGCACAGGAAAGACTGGCCCCCATGATTCATTCACCTCCCCCTGGTCCCTCCCACAACACGTGGGAATTCTGGGAGACAATTCAAGTTGAGATGTGGATGAGGACAGAGCCAAACCACATCAGGCAACGTGTGCAGTTTTTCTCTTCTGTTGTTACTCAGGATCTTCCTGTGAATGTCAAATTCATCATTGAGGGGATGGAAGAGGCCGGCTCTGTTGCCCTGGAGGAACTTATGGAGAAAGAAAAGGACCGATTCTTCTCTGGCGTGGACTGCGTCGTAATTTCAGATAACCTGTGGATCAGCAAAAGGAAGCCAGCCGTCACCTACGGAACGCGGGGGAACAGCTACTTCACCGTGGAGGTATCCACAGACAGCAGTGTGTGGGCGGAGGCCTGTGGGGGTGTGAATGGGAGCGCCAACCCATTCTGGGATCCTGGGGAGGAAGAGAAAGCTTTCCTGAGGACAGAGGCCTTGCCGGGACACACAGCCTTTGGGGAGTGGGGGTGGGTACAGAGGTCTTGGGTTTGGAGAGGTTATGAACCTCCCGACACTTGGAATGGATGTGCCTGTGTGCATCGTTCTGGAGAGGGGATTCACAGGGGTTTGTGACTCACAAAGCAAAGCTTGGAAACTCTGGCTGTGGGATTTGCAGGCAGGTATGGCAGCCTGCAGCGGGGTAAGCAGACTGCCTGATCGATGCGGGGGCAACTGTGCTGTGTCCTGCTCCCAGTGTGGGACCGCTGGCAACAGTGGCAGGAGACCCAAGTGCCATGGTCACGGGGAAGGGGAAGGAGCATTGGTGTTGCCTGAGGCCAGCGTCTGAATCCTGGCTTCTACCAAACCCAGCCTTGTGCAGGTGGCTTCACTTTGAGCCCTGGTTTTCCACCATGAAAGATGACACAATAGCATTTCCAGCCTCCTCCCGGGATGGCTGTGTCATTACTGCAGCCTTCAGTTCATGTGTGACATGCAGTCAGTTTCCTTCTCCCTTTCTCTTTTTCTAGTAATGCAGACAACCTGTGATAGCATGAAAGACTTAGAAAGTCCCTCCCTGGTAAATAGGTGATTGTTTCATCACATCAATCTTTCTTCTCGCATAACAATGTATAGGCTAATAATCCATGCTCCATCCAGTCCCTAGGCAGTTGTGAGACTCATGTCAGCACAGACACGGAAACACACGTGGCTATGCATTTGAAAAACAGTGAGTGTCTTCCGTTTGCCAGATAGGAGGATGCTAAGTCCCAGGGCTATAGGACTGAATGAAATAGGCTCTGCTCTCAGGAAGTCTACTCCGAGTGAGATACAGATACTAAAGACATGTAGGAGTGACAGGGAAAACAGGAAGCAAGGACTGTCCTCTACAACGATCTTTCAAGAAAATGGCTGTGAGAAGTGGGAGAGAGCTGGGACGACCGCCTGAGGAGGCAACAGACAGAAGGAGCAGGTAGAGACCTAGGAGGAGGGGAGGACTTTTGAGAACAAAGGCACTGAGGAGGTGGGAGGGGCGAGCTCCAGACCAAGGTGAAGAAAGTAACCTCTTCTGTGAGGGCCTTGGGTAGGTAGAGAGCTCAAAATCCTGGAGTTTCTTCCCCTTTGTCTTTTTTTTTTTTTTTTTTATTCTGTTTAGTAGGAAGTGAGTGTGTCTGCAGAGAAGTGATGGCTTGAAGTGATCGCTATGGGACACGGGGAAGAGAAGGGACAGGAGGATGATGAAGGGCCTGGCAGTATTAAGGCCTGGAGTCATCTGTCCATGCAGATTGATGGCTTTCTGAGCATGCTCCGTGGCCAGGGACGGAGAAGGCCCCAGAGGCTGGCCCAGGGCTTGAGGTTACTCCACAAGGTTGCGGTAGAGAAAGTAGGTAGAGCTCATCAAGGTGTTGACCACAGAGGGGCTGACATGACCAACGGTGGTATTCTGGTTGAACAGGGGAAAAAAACAAAAGCAGGAGGCCAATGTGGGACATCTTGGAAGGGTCAAGGGACTGGACGTCTTGATGAGGGCCGAGAACAGGTGGTATAGCAAAGTTACAAGAGAGGAGGAGAGGAGCTGTCATCAGGATGTGACACAGCCAGCTCAACATTTCCAAGTGAGACCGTCCGCACTCCAAAGTAATTTAGCTAGCCTTATTGCCTAGTGAACTGAAAGTCTTACGCTACAGTGACCAAACCAAAGATTGCTCTGGTGGTACACTGAGGATGGAGTGGAACAGAGAAAGACCAGCTGGGCCGGAAGGATGAGTGGGAATGAATGGAAGAATCAACTTCACAAAAGCCCAGCCTGTAGAAATTGGTAATGGATTGGACATGGCGTACATAGGAGAAATCATGCTGGTAGGAAGTAATTGCAGAAGAGGTTGAGTTTGGGTCTAGATCTCCTGAGTTTCAGAAACTAGAAGCATGCTCAAGTGGAATGAACTGCAAGCACCCCAGAGTTTTAGGTCTGATGTTTAGGTTGAAGGTCAGACCTCCAGGGATGCGCATTAATGGCACGGAGGTATTAATAGTATCCCTGCTTCCCTGCATGGTCGGAGATAACCAGGTCCACAGGTGTTTGTGTCTTTCCACAATTTCAGGTTTTACTGATGCTATCTCAGTAATAAAAGCCATGGGCTCCACAGAGTTCCCAAGCAGGCAGTTCTCCTTAGTGCCTCCCATTCTCTCAGGAGTCAGAGCTGCAGGCACACAGGCTCAACTACTCCGCAAGGCAGTCAATACTGCAAAGCATACATCGTGGTATACCTAGCCAACATGTAAATGTTATAGACTAAACATTCCACAACAAACAAAGTAACAGTTACCATGAAGAGAGAAGGAGCTGGGCACAGTGGCTTATGCCTGTAATCCCAGCACTTTGGGAGGCTAAAGGCGGGTGGATCACCTGAGGTCAGGAGTTCAAGACCAGCCTGGCCAAGATGGCAAAACTTCATCTCTACTAAAAAAATTAAAAAAAAAAAAAAAAAAAAAAGCTGGGCACGGTGGTGTGTGCTTGTAGTCCCAGCTACTTGGGAAGTCGAGGCAGAAGAATCACTTGAAGCTGGGAGGCAAAGGTTGCAGTGAGCCGAGATTGCATCACTGCACTCCAGCCTGGGTGACAGAGTGAGACTTCTCAAAACAAGAAAACAAAAACAAAAACAAAGAAAAGGGATAGGAAAAGCAGTTAATGACCCAGTCCAGGGAGAGTGATCTAGACAAAAAGAATATCCTGGTCTTGCCCGAGTGGTCCAGTGATCTTGCAAGGAGGGGTCTTTGATCTATGCAGAGCCTTTGGTGGCAGATGCTGGGTGCTTAGCAGAAGTGATAGCAGAACAGTGTCTGTCAAGTTTTGAGTTGCTGACATCCTGGTCATTTTATGACTGTAGAGCCCTCTGATAAGAACCAATAGTGGAAGAATGAGTTTGGTTATATCCTTATCCAGCTGGATGCAGCCTTTATTGATCAGTCTGCAACTAGTCCCCATTGGCAAAGTGCCTCATGAAATGTAAGGTGGAGTCTTTTTCTAAGATGGAGTCACTTATGTCAAGGGTGCTGTATACATAAACGCTATCCTGTGAGCTCTTGAAGCTCGGGTAGAGGAAGGATGAGCCAAGTATTAAGCTTTAGAAGTGGAAGGAAGAAAAGATGTTATTTCAGGAGATATTAATAGAATTGTCCTGCAGGCAAGAAAAGAGGAAAGAGAAGAAAGCTTCTCAGAAACCAAGGGAGGAAAATTTTCCCAGAAAGAGGAGTGATTAACAATATGGGATGAAGCCAAAAGGAAGACAGCTGTGTAAACGTCCATCATTTGGCCAAGGAGCGCCTGGTCGTCTTGGCTAGAATAGAGTTGGTGGAAGAGCTGGGGAATGAGTCAGTTTCAGGGGATTCAGGAGACAGTGGGATTGAAGCAATGGACAGAGGGTATGAACTCCAATCCTTGTGACTGAGAAGCATGGAAGGTGAAGTCAGGTCTGGAGGTCGCCTCTCTGAGTTCTGAGGGACACACCAGATATGTCTTCCACCACGTGAGATGCTTAACCTGGCAGGTTACTAGAGGAACCAAGGCAGGACGCATATCTCTTACCTTTTATCTGCTGTACAGGTGAAATGCAGAGACCAGGATTTTCACTCAGGAACCTTTGGTGGCATCCTTCATGAACCAATGGCTGATCTGGTTGCTCTTCTTGGTAATGCCTCGTTTTGATTCACTTTTTAAGCATCAGGGATCAACTAAAAGACAGTTCTACCTGATTCCATGTGCTTCGCCTTCTTGCTTTCTGAGCCAGCTCTGAACAAGGGTGTAGATGCTGACTGTTTCCTCCCCTGGGCTAACTGTTCCCTCCATTTATAAGTCAGTCTGCATTATTTCTTTTCATGGACTGAAACTCTTCTCAGTTCACCCGTTTTCTTTTATTGGACATTGTGACACATCCAGCCATACTCAAGGACAAGAGGGCAGAGACTCGAAGGATGCAAAAGACTGAGAGGTCACCCTGACTTCCTTACTGCTGCTCCAAGAATGCCGGGCTGGGTGGGGGCGTGGTATTCCCAAGCCAGCTGAACCACAAGTTCAACTTCAGTAGACTTGGCGTGACTTTTTGATTGAAGATAAATCAACAAAGGGATGATCAAAGGGGAAAGGAACTAAGTGACACACCAGGTGAGGCCCTTCAGCCACTTCCTCAAGAGTGTCTCGTTTCTCAGCGTAGACAAGCCCTTCTGCAGACCAGCCTGCGCCTTGAGGAGTGTGGGTTCTGGGTGAGGGTGACCAGGTATGTCCTCACTCTGCCGCAGACCACTTGCATGACCCTGGCAGGTTACTTGAATTCTCTAGTCTTCAGTTTCTCATTTGTAAAGGGGCACAATCGCCTATTTAGCAAGTATTGCTTTGAGGGTGCCAAAAGGTGGTATGTGCAGAACACTTGCCACAGAGGCTGGAACGCAGCGTGTCCAGCAGTGAGTAATGGCCTGCCCTGGCCTGACTCCAGAGATGGTGTCAAACATGACAGCACCACTTGGCTTCATTTTTCAAGGTTGCTGAGTGGCACAGCAATGCTGATGAGTTCCCTGATTGTCCCAATAATGTCCTTGATTTTTTGTGGATTGCTGATGTGTGCAAGAAGCAGTTGTGTGTTTTTCTCAGCGAGGCTGTTTGCCCAGGCTCAATTCACCTGCAGCTGTTCTAGGCAGCAGGGCTGCCCACGGTGGGTTCCCAGGGAAGCTAAGGAAGTTTAAACTCTAGGGGCCTCACTTATAGGAACTCCTTCGACAGTCCTGACTCATCATTTTATGACACTCATCATTTTATATTCATAATCTGGTATTCTTTTTAAAAAAGAGATTCACACGTTACCTGTGCTTTAGACCCTGCAAAACCTTGCTCTGCTCCACCTGGCATGTATAGCTTCCTTATGCAAACTTCACAGCATGGCCAAGGTGGGTGAAGCGCTTGAGCTCAGGAGTTTGGGACCGTCTGTACAAAAACTAGCCAGGCGTGATGGTGCAGACCTGTAGTCCCAAGCTACTTAAGAGGCTGAGGCAGGAGGATCGCTTGAGCCTGGGAAGTGGAGATGGCAGTGAGCTGAGCTAATCGTGCCACTGCATTGCAGCCTGGGCAACAGAATGAGACCCTGTCTCAAAAAAGTGAAAAAAGAAAAGGCAAAAAATGCTTAATAATGTGCCCTTTCTGGGCAGACAAATTGCCAAAAAGCATTTACTCCGTTGGCCTCAGTAGTCTGAGACAGGGTAGAATGGGCCCAGATGGTCCAGGTCTGGGAGGATCTCCTCAAGGTCTTCAGCATCAGTTTTAGTGGTACAGCGTTCTCCTCCTTCAGTCTTCCAAACCGAATCATGAAATTTGTCTACATTTCCACCATCTGTCTATCCAGCCAGCCATCTATTATCTCTCTATCCGTCCATCCATCCATCCATCCATCCGTCCATCCATCCATCTATCCATCTGTCTATCTATCTATCTTCAAGTTTTCCTGAAATATAGCTCTTGGATGATATTTCCCATGCCTGATAATTCAGGCAGAATACAACCAGCCATTTTCCTTTAAAGATTTTAAATGGTTTCCAGAAGAAGTTGGATTGTATGCAACTTACTATTTTGGGGAGTGGAGGTTAATTTTCTGTTTTACCAGAATGAATCTTTTCTTCCCTAGGAAATGCATATGAAATCTTTTGCAGCACATTTTGCTTTTCCCACAAGCATGATTGCTGCATGCATCTTTCTAGATCATGTGGCTTCAGCCAGGCACAGATCCAGGTCAGCCCCACAAGTGCATGGTACTCTGCTAAGGAAGATTCAGCTCAGGCTCATGAACAGAAGTAAAAATGCGGTTTTACTTTCTTTAGTTTTTGATACAAATCAAATAATCATTCCACAGCACAGTGATTTCTGGATTGTGTCCTCTGTGGTTTTCATACGTTTTGTACAAAAACACAAGGACATAGTGTTGAGCTTTGCTGTTTATCAGAGGAGAAGCAGGAATTTTGCTTGCCAACAGGCTGGGCTGTAGTGGAGATGCCCGGACTCCAAGGGTCCCCGATGTCAAGTGATGGTTCTGCTGTGTCCACTCCTGCAGGCTGACAAGCAGCCACACACACTAGCCAGCGTGCGGGGAATCCACGGGCAGCCCTTGCCTTGTGCCAGCTCCTAATCCCTCTGTCTCTGCTGTGATTATGCACGGACAATAAATGCTAGTGAGCACCAGCTCTGGGAAATGCAGATACCACTAGTGGCACAAAGCAAGACCATGTAAGTTCCCTGTCTGAAAAGAGGCTTCCTGTCCAGGGGAGGCAGGAGCCGGTACAAGGATACTTGGGTTTACAAATCGAGCTCTAACCTTCTGTGGTTCCCCTTTGCAGACATTTTCCTACTCTTTTCATTCCTCTAAAAGCCATAAAACAGAAAAGGCCATTGAACCAAAGGCATTTTTTTTTTTTTGAGATGGAGTCTCGCTCTGTTGCCCAGGCTGGAGTGCAGTGGTACGATCTCGACTCCCTGCAACTTCCGCCTCCTGGATTCAAGCGATTCTCCTGCCTCAGCGTCTTGAGAAGCTGAGACTACAGACACGCACCACCAGGCCCAGCTAGTTTTTGTATTATAGTAGAGACGGGGTTCCACAATGTTGGCCAGGATGGTCTTGATCTCCTGGCCTCGTGATCCACCTCCCTCGGCCTCCCAAAGAGCTGGGATTATAGGCGTGAGTCACCATGCCCGGCTGATCCAAGGGCATTTTTGTAAGTGCCAAATATGCAATGTTATTTAAAATGTTCAAATCCAAGACAGCTGCTGGGCATGCAGGATTCTGTTTCCTGTGGGCAGTTGTCAAAGGCACTGTCTGCCTTCCTTGTGTGCACTAAGACAGCAGTGGTAACTGTGGAAATGAAGTCGTATCATGATTGCAAGAGGAAAATGAACAGCAGGGGAGGGGACAAACCCTTAAGCATAGTATTTTCATTCAAATGCTTTCAATATTAAAGAACTAGGCTACTTGGGAGGCTGAGGCAGGAGAATCGCTTGAACCAGGAGGCAGATTGCAGTGAACTGAGATCGTGCCACTGCACTCCAGCCTGGGCAACAGAGTAAAACTCTGTCTAAAAAAAAAAAAAGAAAGAAAGAAAGAAAGAAAAAGCCATTTCTGCCAAAATCACAGCCTAATTCACTAAGAACATCTGGATCACCACCCCACCACACACAACTGGCAACATCTGACAATACCAGCTGAAATGACTGGGAAAATGTCACTGTTCAGTTTCACAGTTCCAACATGAGCCCCTGGTGCAGGTGGGCACTCTCATGTTGGGGCCTGTCGTCCTCAAATCTTTCTGTCAAAAACATCAAATGTCTTGCCAAGTTATATAAAAATTCTGACCACGAAGATTGTGCCCATCCGTCCTAGGCAACCTCCCAGGCCCACCCGTCGAGCTGTGGTCTCCTTGACTTCCCAGGTTTGCCGTTGACCTCCGTGTTGGCTCCTCCGTGCTCCTGCACAGCCCCTGCCTCTCGTGAGTGCTCCTCCTGCTGTAACTTTCCAGCTGGGTTATGAGCACTTGTGTGTCTTAAGTGCTTTGCAGCTCCATCCTTACCCAGAAGACTGTCAGCAGAAGTTTAGGGACATACGCTCAAGGGAAGACTTCATGACACATTATCAGTGGGGACTCACTGAGTTGCCTTGGAAACATTTTTGTGCCATTTCTATCAGCGTACTTCCTGGCTGCATTTTGCCTTTGATAAGCATTTTCTCCAGAGTGTGGCAGCATTTACTGAAACTCAACCTCTGCTGTTTTTATGGATATTTAGTGATGGTTTTGTCCATGTGCATTGATCCCCGAACTCTTTCATGAAGAACATACTAGCGTGTATAGAGGATTTTCTGATCATGATGGTATCTCATGGAGTAGACCTGGAGGGTACAAGCTTTTAATTGAAAAAGAGTCTTTATTATAATTGTGTGTGTGTGTTTGTGTGTGTAGGGGAAGTTGAGAAGGGATGATGACAGTTTTTGGTTTCTCAGGTATGGATGTATGTGTGTATACATGTACGTGTGTGTGTGTGTTTATATATATATATAAATAATTTTTTTTGAGACATGGTCTCTCTTCATCATCCAGGCTGTAGTGCAGTGATGCGATCATGGCTCACTGCAACCTCAACTTCCTAGGCTCAAGTGATCATCCCACCTCAGCTTCCCGAGTAGCTGGGTCTATAGGCAAGTGCCACCACGCCCCACCAATTTTTGTATTTGTTGTAGAAATGGGGTCTCGCCATGTTGCCCAGGCTGGTCTGGGACTCGGGCTCAAGCAATCCATCTGCTTTGACCTCCCAAAGTGCTGGGAATACAGATGTGAGCCACCACGCCCAGGATGTATTTTAAATGTTTTATAAAGAACACGTATTACTTTTTTTTTTTTTAACTCAGAATAAGATAAAACCAAAACACAAACCGTGTTTATGACATAAAAGTCATAGCTGAGAATGTGAGTGTGATGCAGGTACCTCGCTCTGGCTTCATTTGTGGCAGGCCCAGGTGTTTTCAGCTTTGCCTTTGACAAGGTGAACCCTAAGGCAGGGCTGACTCTGGCTGGGTGAGCCTGGTGACCAGCTCCTTTCTCTGATGGTCACTTCTTGGATGGAGTTGCTGCTGACGGCTCTGGCTGTGGGCACCTGAACAGTCATGAGGCCTGCTGCAACCCCAAAGAGCCATCCATGGTCTAGCTCCAGGACCACAACATCGGCACACTCCTCATTTCTGCCTGGCTGTGTTTTCTGTGTGTGTTTGGCAGGTAGCCTGGTAGACCCGTCCGGTCATATCCTGGTCCCTGGAATCTATGATGAAGTGGCTCCTCTTACGGAAGAGGAAGTAAATACATACAAAGCCATCGATCTGGACCTGGAAGAATACCGGAATAGCAGCCAGGTGGCGACGTTTCTGTTCGATACTAAGGTATGGCCACAGGTTGCTGGATGGCCTGGAAGAGGCGTGAGGCTTGTGGATCGCATTTGCCCACCGTCCAGATCATTGTCGGGTGCTAATCTGTGCATCTTAGAACCCAAAGCGGATGTTGATTCCTAGGCAGGTTTTGACTTTCACAGCCACTTCCCTGTGGTCTGGATCAACCAGTCCTTTTTCTCTGGGGTGGCACTGGCTCCTGGCACCTGACCACAAGCAGTTACCCATTTCACAGCCCTGTTTTTCCAAAGCTGTTGATTAACCTAGATCCCATGCCAGCCTTCAGCCAGTTAGCTGGACTTCTTACCTGTTCAAACACTGTGAAGAGTCTCGGATGATGCTGACTCCAAGACCTCTAACTATTCTTCCAGACAAAACCAAAAGCCTTAGGGCCTGATCCACAAGTGAATACATGGTTGCCTCAGCGGACTAAGTTAACACAAAGCCAAAAGCATTCCTTACAGGCAAATGAGAACCGTTTTGCTTTTCTCCTCCTCTTTCTGCGGAGCTTGGTTGCCTGGCAAGGTGTTTGGTGGCCAGGGCTGGTTCCTGGGGAAGGGACCGAGAGGGGAAAGCAAGCTGAAAAGAGCAATAGAGTGAATGACTACGAAGCACGCATCTTCCCGCAGACCAGCGCGAGGATGGCCAGGGAAAGCAGGAAACCTGACCGAAACATCTGTCGAGCTCTTTGACGTCTTCTGAATAAGAAAATGCATCACTACATAAGTTCTTATTATTATAATGAGTGGGGATGGAAATTTGTAATTGAACCCACATTTCTGAAAGGGCCTCTTTATCATGGCCATACCACCCTGACCGTGCCCAGTCTCATTGAAAGGGCCCCTTTGCCATTTGTTAACCGGAAACTGCAGATCTTGGGCAAAGGCGGCACTCTGGAGCAGGGAGCGGCTTGGGTGGGCGAAGACGTCTGAGGACAGCAGAGAGTTTGTCCTGAGGGAAAAGTCCTCCGTGTGTCAGGCGCGACTAAGGTGACAGTTAACATGTCCTGAATGGTGTCTCAGAGGGACGGTGGGGTGGTAACACACACAACCCAGATCCACTGGGTTCTAATTAGACCTCCTTTGGATAATTGTACTTTAATATAGGAGGAGATTCTAATGCACCTCTGGAGGTACCCATCTCTTTCTATTCATGGGATCGAGGGCGCATTTGATGAGCCTGGAGCTAAAACAGTCATACCTGGCCGAGTTATAGGAAAATTTTCAATCCGTCTGGTCCCTCACATGAATGTGTCCGTGGTGGAAAAGCAGGTAACAAACGCTGTCATTCTGTCTAGCAGTGTGGTCTCTGACTCCTACACATCACGGCTTAGGGAGCAGTGAGGCTGCTACTGTTGGAGTATCATTTTTTCCAGTACAAGAGAAGTGGAACAAATGTCAAGAAACCAATATTGTCCAGCGCAGTGGCTTGCACCTGTAATCCCGGCACTTCAAGAGGCCAAGGCCGGAGGATCCCTGGAGCCCAGGAGTTGAAGGCTGCAGTGAGCTGTGATTGCACCACTGCACTCCAGCCTGGGTCACAGAGTGAGACACTATCTCTTAAAAAAACAAACAAAAAGAACTCAAACTTTTTCCTTGAGTATATGCAGTTACAGCAGCCAGACAAATAACCATTTGAAGCTAGAGTGCTAGGAAAATTTGAAAGTTAAATGGTAGATATAAAGCAAGATTGGTTTACACAGCGAGGGAGGATAGAGTAGGGGACTGGCTGTGCTTAGCCAGAAGCAGGGAGTCTCAGGCCTCAGTCATCAGATGTCCATTATGTCTGAAATGAACACTTTGGAAGTTGCCATTTTTTTGTTTGTTTGTTTGAGACAGAGTTACGCTCTTTCACCCAGGCTGGAGTGCAGTGGCCAGATTTTGGCTCACTGCAACCTCTGCCTTCTGGTTTCAAGTGATTCTCCAGCCTCCGCCTCCTGAGTAGCTGGGACTACAGGTGTGCACCACCACACCCAGCTAATTTTTGTATTTTTAGTAGAGGCAGGGTTTCACCATGTTGGCCAGTCTGGTCTTGAACTCCTGACCACTGATCCACCCACCTCAGCCTCACAAAGTGCTGGGATTATAGGCATGAGCCACCTTATCCGGCCTGGAAAGCGTTTTAAGGAAAATGTTTTCTGGAAGAAGTTATGTATCCAAATTACAACCAATTATCAATTTGACTTAAGCTAGTTTAAGAAACTAGACTCTTGAATGAATGAGCTAAAGGAACGCCTCATCCCAACCCTCAGCCCCTCTCCATCCCATTATGCCCTTTATTATCTTGTTAGCACTAATTATATCCTAAAGTAGTCTCTCTTTCTTTCTCCCTGCCTCCTCCCCTCCTTTCTTCCCTCCCTCCTTCCCTGCCTCTCCTGCCTTCTCTCCTCCCTCTCTTCTCCCTTTCCTTTCCCCTTTCCATTCCCCTCCCCTCCCTTCCTCTCCCTTCTTCTCCTTTTTCTTCCCCTCATCTCCCCCTTCCCTCCCCTTCCGTCTTCTGTCTTCTCTCCCATCTCTCCTCTCCTCTTTTCTTTCCTTTCCTTTTCCTTCCCTCCTGTCTCTTCCTCCTACCCTTCTTCCATCCTTTCCTCTCCTCTCCTCTCCCCACTCCCCTCCCCTTCTTTCTCCACTCCCTCCCCCTCCCTTCCCTTTCCTCTTCTCCTTCCCTCCTTCCTCCCTTCCCTTCCTTCTTTTTGGAGGTACTCCCCCTCTTTCTCATGACATATAAACTCCAGGGCAGGGCCTTCCTTGTTTTGTTCACAGCTGTATCTGCAGCACCTAAAACAGTCTCTGGCACATGACAGGTGTTCTATAAATGTGTGCTGAGGGAATTAGTGGAAGAAATTTGAGTATGGACCCGGGAGGGTTTCCACAGTATCAACGAAAAAGGAGCAGGAGGGGAGAGAATGAGGCCGAAATGAGGCTCCTCCACAGTTGAGCCTGGAGTTGCTTCCACTTCTTGGAAATTCCCCAAATGCTTAATGTTACCAAAACATTCAGAGGGTACTGAGGAGTCCAAAAAGAGAACGTTTCAAATGAGAAGTCCTGCTGGTGCTTGGCTTCCTCACTTTCAACAGCGATGCTCCAGCACCTTTGTGTGTGAGACGCTGTGGTTGGAAGGGGGTGGGGGGCCAGGACTGCAGGGTAGAGGATAGAGGGGAGTCCCCCTCTGGGTGCAGCCCAGGGTTTCCTGCTCTCAGCACTGAAGAAGGATCTCACTGTTGCCCTCTGGAAGAGCGAAGGGAAAATCACAACACTTGAATGTGTCAGGTTGGGGCTTCTTGATGGAAGACTATGCTAACTGTATAAGAGAATAACTTGACATTTTGTCTTATTGAAAACATCACCTTTTAGGTGACACAGCATCTTGAGGATGTGTTCTCCAAAAGAAATAGTTCCAACAAGATGGTTGTTTCCATGGCTCTTGGACTACACCCGTGGATCGCAAATATTAACAACACCCAGTATATCGCAGCCAAAAGAGCCATCAGAACAGGTGGGACCTTAAGATCTTCTGACTGGCCAGTCTGCAGTGGGACTCAGGGGTGGTACCCGTGGGACTGTGGGTAAAGCAGACACTTTTAAAACTCAGAAAGGGACTTTCCTTTAATATTGACATACTGTTGAATGCATGGCATGCACAGGGCACACTATACACACCATCTCAAGTAATCCTCCCAATAGCCTTCCCCATCTGACAGAGGAATAAATGAAGGCTTACAGACACCAAGTGTTTTGACAAAAGGCACCCAGCTCACAAGTGGCAAAGCCTATGTTCAAATTTAAGTCTGGAGACCTGAATTTTGGGGAAAATGATAGACTAGAAAATCTTCAACATCCCCAATACAAAACTCATAGAAATGTTGCTAACATGTAAAAATGTCCTTTCAAAACACAGATTAGGCCAGATGTGTGATGGCTCAAGCTTATAATCCCAGCAGTTTGGGAGGCAGAGGTGGGAGGATCACTTGAGTTCAGGAGGTCGAGAACAGCCTGGACAATACGGTGAGATCCCCCCTATCTCTACAAAATATATAAAAATTAGCTGGGTGTGGTAGCACATGCCTGTAGTCCCAGCTACTCGGGAGGCTGAGGCAGGAGGATTGCTTGAGCCCAGGAGGTTGAGGCTGCAGCGAGCTGTGATCACGTTACTACACTCCAGCCTAGGGGACAGAGTGAAAAACGAAAAATGGGAAAACACAGCTTAGCTTGTGTGGCATCAGAGGAAACCCTTTAGGGTTAAAAATGAAGGAGAACCTAAACTCTAGGGGGGTGAATAAGCAGACCCTGGGCCAGCCTGCAGAGATCTGCTCTTCCTGGTCACAGAGAGGCTGGGGCTTTAATGGCCTTGGGCCAGAGTGAGGCAGGAAGTTGAAAACGAGACCCAGTTTATACAGGCAGGGCATCCCCCGAGAGCCACGCCCATCCTGTGTGTGTGTGTGTAAGTGCAACTGTTTTTGCTTGGACGTTGGACAGGCACAAGGTCTCCCATGAGAATTTTTAATCACGGACCCTTGCCCCTGTGGTTCTGGGTCTTTAATGTCTACCTAGTGTGTGGTCCCGATCTCCCTAGTGCTGTGGCGACTGCCTCTGTTGCAAGCACAGCACTGCCCTGGAGGACACAGACCCCAGGCAGGCCAAGGAGATTCCACAGGAGCTTCCTGGAGATGAGCTCGCTGGATAAAATTACAAAACACACAAGAAACCCCATTCCAGTGTGTCTGACCCTAAAGCCAGTGGTCTCTTCACAATGCCACATCACTTTTCCAGAAGGCAGCGCAGCTCTATTTGGAACTTCTTTGGTGGTTCCTGCGTTAAGTCCAGGCACTTGGCCAAGCATGGCGGCTCAAGCCTGTAATCCCAGCACTTTGGGAGGCCGAGGCGGGTGGATCACGAAGTCAACAGATCGAGACCATCCTGGTCAACATGGTGAAACCCCGTCTCTACTAAAAATACAAAAAATTAGCTGGGTATGGTGGTGCGTGCCTGTAATCCCAGCTACTCGGGAGGCTGAGGCAGGAGAATTGCCTGAACCCAGGAGACGGAGGTTGCGGTGAGCCGAGATGGCGCCATTGCACTCCAGCCTGGGTAACAAGAGCAAAACTCCGTCTCAAAAAAAAAAAAGTCCAGGCACTTCACTGTCCTGAGTAGAGCCATGTGTTGGGCTGAGCAGAGGGCGTGTACTTGGGTGCTGGCTGTGGCATCAGGGAGCAGGAACACCCAGTTCCCTTGACTTCTGCACCAGGAGGGGGACCCTGCCAACAACAGCAGAATTGGGGTTCTCCCCAAAGCTGGAGGTTCTGGGTCTCCCCAAAAGCCAGGTGGAAAAGCAGTGGCACGCATTTAGATAGACCTATGGCGTCCTATTACAGATGAGGCCTGAGGCCACATTGGCTAATGGTAGCAAAGCCGGAATGGGAAGCCCAGATCTCCCTGAAGCACTAACTCTCTCACTTGGGGTTATCAATACAAGGGAAACAGACACGGAAAACCAGAGAACAATCCAAGACATGGAGCCATGCCTCTTTACATCAGCATTCCTGCTGCCCCCAATTTAGCAGGTATTTTGCCAGTAAACTTTAGGATTGAAGAAATGTGATGGCAGCTGAAGAGAGGTGTGTTTTGAAATATGAAGGTTGACAACAATAGATGGGTCTGAAGTAGCCTTTCAGGAATGCAAAAGACACCTTCTGGTCTATTTGTGTGCCGCTGGTTCTGCTAACAAGGTACATTGCTTTGATTGACATCCACATCCTGCTCTGCGAATGAAGAAGAGGCGGCATGTTCTTCTAGGTTTCTTGGTTTCATTCTGCATCCCTGCTCCCTCACTGGCAGCATGTCCTCTAAGCTTGAAGGTTCAAGTTCATCTCTTTCTAAAACCTGGGATAGCAGTTAAAACTATTTTATGCGATGCTTTGAAAATTACCAGAAACATTGTGACATTTGAGTGATAGTACAGCTACTGGCCTGTCACCAAAAAAGTCCCACTTCTGTAATATTTAATTCATGAAGAAACAAGAAAGGTAGGCACATTGTCTCATGTCATGCCAAAAATGCATGACCTCTTCCAATCACAAGATAACATCAGACAAACCCAGAATGAGGGATATTTTACACAACTGCTAATTGATCAGCTTCAAGCTGGTCGAGGTCATGAAAGACAAGGAAATACTGAGAAACGGCCCCAACATACAATAAACTAAGAAGCGGTAATAAAAATGCGGTGTGGATTCTGGATCAGATCCTGGAATGGACAGAGGGAAAGACTGGTGAAACTAAAAGTCCGGAGGGCATTGAGTAGCGTTGCACCATCCTCGGTTTCCTTGCTGTGATCACTTTGTGTTAGTTACATAAGATGAGGGAAAGCAGAGTAAGAGATAGATGGGAGCTCTCTCTGTACTACTTTTGCAACTTTTCTAAATTCTAAACTTTTCTAAAATTAGTTTAAAATAAAAATTTTATTTGCAATATTATTTATTTATTTATTTTGAGACAGAATCTCGCTCTGTCACCCAGGCCGGAGTTCAGTGGCAAGATCTCGGCTCACTGCAACCTCCACCTCCCACATTCAAGAGATTCTCCTGCCTTGGCCTCCCAAGTAGCTGCAATTACAGGCATGCGCCACCACACCTGGCTAATTTTTGTATTTTTAGTAAAGATGGGGTTTCACCATGTTGGCCAGGATGGTCTTGAACTCCTGACCCCAAGTGATCTGCCCACCTCAGCCTCCCAAAGTGCCGGGATTATAGGCATGACCCACTATGCCTGACCCTAAAATATTTTCTAAAGTAGGTAATTGTCAAGAAGATATCCACAGTTTTCTTCTTGACTCTAGCATCTGTATTAGAATACAAATTTCATGATATCAAAAGGGTTCCTTACCCTAGGCACCAAATCTAATGGTAAAAAAGAAATATTAACAAGGAAAAAGAGAGAAGATAAAGCTGCGCTGCCCTTGAGGAGCTTACTGGGGGTGGTCGGGTCGTGGCCTTACTTGATCCAGATGCCTTCTTTTCCTGTTTCAGTGTTTGGAACAGACCCAGATATGATCCGGGATGGATCCACCATTCCAATTACCAAAATGTTCCAGGATATCGTCCACAAGAGCGTGGTAATGATTCCACTGGGAGCTGTTGATGATGGAGAACACTCACAGAATGAGAAGATCAACAGGTCAGCTGATGCCTGTGCAATGTGCCTCTGTTTTCTTCCTTCACTGCACACACCCCGGTCTACACGTGGGTGAGCTCCTGTTCAATTTATGCAAGAATGGAAAATCATACAGGCTGGGGGCTTAAGCAACACACACTGATTCCTCACAGTTCTGGAGCCTGGATGCCCGAGATCAGGTGCCAGCCCCTTTGGTTCCTGGGGGGTGCGGGCTCTCTTCTGGCTGTCCCTTTGCTCACATGGTAGGGTTAGGGGGCTCTGGTGTTTCCTTCTCTTTTTATAAGGGCACCAGCCCCATTGGATTAGGACCCCCCTTTTGACCTCATTTAATCTTTATCATCTCCTCTAGCCCTGTTCTCCAAATACAGACACATTGGGTGGTTAGGGCTTCAACATAGGAGTTTGGGGAAACACAAATGTTCAGTGCAAAACAAAAAAGGCTACTTAGGAATGTTTGCTATGTGCACTATTGGCAGGTACTAATATCTCCTAAGCCTCCCAGACTAGCGAGAAACAAGAAAATGTTTGACTGATATCCATGTCATATCAATGATAAGAAATCAAGGAAAATGGACCTTTGGATTTGAGTCTAGGACTGATTCTCATCTTCTTAGTAATAATAATGCAATTTCCACGTGGAACTTAGTGCCTTTCCTACTGGGATCTCAGAAGTATGTTCAATAATTTAGGTGGAATTTATAACATCAAATCTTCCTGTCTAAATGACAGAATGTTTTTCCTCCTTCATTTGAATGGAAATTTTAACAAAATTTCTTTTTGTTTTTCCTCTTCTTAGGTGGAACTACATAGAGGGAACCAAACTATTTGCTGCCTTTTTCTTTGAGATGGCCCAGCTGCATTAATCACAAGAACCTTCTCGCTTGATCTGATCCACTGACAGATTCGCCTCCCCCACATCCCTAGACAGGGACAGGGTCTAAACATCCAGAGAATTTGGGTCTGCTAGAGTACATTTTCCCTTCCATTTAAAATGTCTTGGGGATATTGGATCAATAATAACATATTTCAAAGGCACAGATGTTGGAAATGGTTTAAGGTCCCCCATTGCACACCTTCCTCAAATCACAGCGGTCTGCAGCAACTTGATTTCCCCAAGTCCTGTCCGATGGCCCAGGACTGGATTCTTTCTAACCTTTTAGCATGTCTCCGACCTTGCAATCTGATTGGCATAATCACTCCGGTTTGCTTTCTAGGTCCTCAAGTGCTTGTGACACATAATATTCCATCCAATGATCCCCCTTTGCTTTACCGCTCTTTCCTTTCATCTTATTAATAAAAATGTTGGTCTCCACCACTGACTACAGTGATTTCCCCATGGATTCATTTTCAGAGGAGTTCCTAAATCATGGTACTATATTAACCTCTTCCTCCCCTTCATTAATTTTTTCCCACTTCTTGAAAAGTTCTGAAGCCGAAATGATCAGTGTTCATACCTGTATGCCATTTGGGAATCCTTGTGCAAAGATTTTTTTTTTTTTCCTTATTCCAAGCTTCTTTACTTTTCCTGAGATTGATGTCACCTTGCGGCCCCTCTGCCTCCCATTCCTTCTTCTTGTCCCATCAGAAAAGGCCCACTCTCTAGTCAACATCTGTGCATGTGCTGCACCATGGCAGAATTAATCCTGATAGAATTTATCTCACCCCATGGAAATTTGACTCAATGACAACATCTAAATTGCGCAAAGCTTTTAATAGCATCAGCCTTAGATAGAGAACTAATCAACCCTGACATCAGTAACCCATGCTAAATTTAATGCCGTCAGCGAATGCTGCGTTCATTAATCATTTTAGTTAACCGTCTTGTTTGGCTTGATTGGATTTGATGGTGTAAACAACAAAAAAATGTCATTTTTCTACAATTGAGTGTCTGTAAACAAATCAATCTTTATGAATTTATTATTTAAATCACATTACTGGAGAATAATTTGGGGACTTATTAAAATTTTTTTCTAGGATGACTACAAATGAAAACAAAGCAGAAGACATTTGCATTCAACTTTTCCATCACTCTGTTGGAACTCGAGATACCAGTTTAAAAGCGTGCTGTACCACCTTTAAAATGACTGGAGCAGGCAGTCAGTGATTTACTCTACCCTGACTCTGCTCACAGAAGAGGGCCCAACTCAGGGCTCAACCTAGCTGTGGGCTTTTGTGAAGGATTCCGGTTGGTGTTTGCTTTGGAAGAAGGAGACTTCCAGCCATCACATCTCTAATCCTACAGAATATCAAGTCCTTGTTGCAGAGTGTCGGCAGGTGTTGGGTATTTTGTGCTATTGAGCACAGTTTGTGCTCATCTCATGATGCAGGATTTCATGGTGTTCCTCGACTCTGTTGAACCTACCTGATGTATTTGGCATTGTACCCAAGGACTAACAGTGCAAAAGGGTTAGAGTCTTCATGTTAGTCCATTAACCAAAGTTTATTATAAAAGACACTGTAAGCATTTCTGACTAATGTACCATCAGATTTAAGATGTCACCAAACACCACGGTGTATTCACTGACCTTCATTCCTGCTGAATCTTCCTGAGGCCAGCAGTGTCTCAGTTAATTATTCTGTTGCCCCCAGGAGAGAAGGGGAGGAGGGTGAATAGTTACAGAGGCTGCAGAATCCAGGACATTCCAACCCGGGATTGCCGGAGTTGGAATATCCACGTTTTTCTGTCACCCAGGGTCAGGATGGGTCTCCACAGCTATCCCTCCAGGTTTTCCACCCAATTCTGAGCCCTGTGGTGACCCAGACACTACCCTAATGTAGGAGTCAGAAAGGGGTATCTTCCAAGCTCCTCATACTCAGTTGTTAATTATTTAGACTCATTAACCAGTTGTACAGAGGCAAAAAACTTAAGGGAGAGAGAAATTGAAATATTTGGGTTTTTTTTTTTTTAACACTTTAATGATGAAATATATGCACATGGACAAAAACAATCACCCAGTAGAGTTGGGGGTACTGTGACATGCCCATTGGGGGGACTTTATCGTATTGGAGGAGGGCAATGTATTTGCTTGTTAGTAGACATAGCGTATTAAAATGTAGCTCTTGTGATGAGGTTTAGGGGTTAGGGATATCGTTTGGGTTTGGTAGATGCTCTTATGGAAAACAATGAGGGCTGGGTATGTTTCTGGCTTTAAGTTGTATTAATAAAAATAAAATGTACTGGCCGGAAAGTTTGGTGATCGTGCAGGACAGCGTGAGAGCCTTGGTCAGCAACACTGCTCCTTTGCACTTGCTGCTGGGAGAATGGAGTGAGCCAGGGCTCCCCCTAGGGCTTGTTCCCGGCTGCTTCTCACTGTCATACTCATGCTGGGGACTCCGTGGCCTCTGTACTCACCAGAGGCCTGTGACTCCCATCCCAGTCCCTTCTTCCGAGAACCCGGCCCACTGACCTTCCTGCCCATTTCATATCTGAAATGCTACTCATCTACTACAAAAACTTCCATTCATTCCCCTAGCCTGGTTCCCCTCTGGTGCTCCCTACCTTGGTAAGTGGACCATTGGCTAGCTGATAGCAGAGCCCTGCCTTGTTTTCCACACTTCCTTCTCTTTTCAATCCAATTCAATATCAAGGCCCATCCAGCCCATTTCTCAAAAGCCACCACTTCCTCCTAGTTCCACTGTCACCTCGCATAGCTCATAAGCCAACACCTCTAAGTTTTGCTGAGTTATTGCTAATTCTCTAACCAGCCTCTGCTTACACGGCAGCCCCTCTAACTGTATGTGCGACGCTGCAGCCGGCTTGTCCCTCCCAACCTGTTTAAAGCTCTAGACTGGCAACTCAGTCTTAGGATGAAGTCAGACATCCCAGGAAGGTCTACAAGTCCTGTACAACCTGCTCTCTGCTTACTCTTCTGGCTTGCTCTGCCCTCACTAGATACACCCTGATAACCCCATCCTTCTAATCCTCCCAGCTTCACAAATATCCAAGAGCTTCCCTGCCTCAGAGCCTTCTCAGATTTTCTCCCTCCTCTAGCAACACCCTTACAACTCCCTTGGCCTCACTAAAACCCCTCCCACCTGTCCTCATTATTCTTCAAATCTCAGCTTAGTTGTAATTTTTCAGGGAAGCCTTTTCCGATTCCCCATGAGTAAGTGAGGTGTCCCTATTATCTACCATAGTCTCCATAGTTCCTTTGTAGCATTTATTATCATTGTCCCTAAATACATAGTCATGCACGCATACTGACAATTTGGCTAACAGTAGGGACAGTGGTCCCATAAGATTGCAATACCGTATCGTAACTGTGCCTTTTCTGTGTTTACATGCGTAGATACTACTGTGTTGCAACTGCCTACAGTATTCAGCACAGTAACGCAGTGCACAGGTTTGTAGCCTAGGAGCAAAAGGCCACACCTAGGCTGTATGGTGAGGCTTTTTAGGGTACACTGTCTAGGTTTGTGTGGGTACACCCTAGGGTGGCTGCACATGTCCAGGGACGCATTTCTCAGTTTCCCTGTGAAGTGATGCATGATGGTATTTCTACAGTTTGACCACTGCCAGCTCTCCTGCTAGACTATACCATCTTTATAGGCAGAGATTATGTGTGTTTTGTCTATCGTGATGTCTTGGGAGTTCCAGGCATACTGTATGTCTTCAGGAAACATTTAAGTGCTGAAATGAATGATTTCAACATTGGTATCATCCATTCTCATGCTGCTGTGCAAACTCATGCACTTCTCTCCCTCCTATTAAACGTGAAGCTGTATAGTATCAGAGACCATGTCCTACTATTCTCTGCACTTCAGGTATCCAGTGGCGTGCACTGCACACATTACATGATCAGTATGACTCCTAAAATTCTCTTGACTCTGCAGCTGCAATTTTTGGGGTCTTCCCCACCAGGTCTGCTATACCCTTCCCAGACTTCTCTGTCTTTTACTCTCCACTTCACATTGTTCCTAGTTTGAAACCTTGGAGCAGCTAGTACTGGGGAGAAGCACAAAAGACAAGCCAGGTAGAGGTGTCAATGGCTGATAACTGTTCAATGTCTCAGAGTTCCCAGCAGGACTTTATCATACCAGGGGCCACACCTTCATCCAGAGGCCACGAACCAGAAGCCCGGGAGCCCTGCATGGCTCCCTTCACCTCTGCTGAGGTGGCTTTCACAGTGTCCTAAGCACTTTTGAATGGGAAGCAGACATTCCAAAACTGGCAGATGACACACACACATACACGCACACACACACGTGCACACACATGCACACACACATGCACACACACACGATTCCTCTTGAGCAATCAGAGGATGGAGTGAAATGACACTACTCTGCATGTGACAAGAAGCTAAGCTGAGGAGAGCATGAAGCCCAGTGCCTGACCCTTAAGATGTGCTCAATGAAGTTCTTAGAAGCAGTAGAATAAGGCGAAGCTGACAAAAGAAAGCAAATACTATTCTATCTGGCTTCTCACTTCCATGGACAGCTGTTTTCACTTAAAAACAAATCCCCAAACTTGTTTCATGACAGGGCCAAATGACTTTTAAATACAATCTTGTTTAGTAGATAGTATACTATACTATTTTAAGGGCCGGGCGTGGTGGCTCACGCCTGTAATCCCAGCACTTTGGAAGGCAGAGGCAGGAGAATCCCAAGAGTTTGAGACCAGCCTGAGCAACATAGGGAGATCCTGTCTCTAAAAAAAAAAAAAAGTGAACTATACTATTTTAAATGTCTACTTTTAAATGAATTCAGTGTTCTCTGTTATTTTTAATGTTATTTTTGAGATCAAGTTTGAATAGTAATTGTACATGTAATGGCTAACAAATCATGATTTGAGGTCTTGATTATGCAAGATAAAATAAAATATTTGTTTCTATCTTAATGTACTATGGTTAGATCTGGCATAACTACGTTAACGATCTGTAATATGACTGCCTTTCATAACGAACTAAAACCTAAACCAAGTCCTAAGAGTAGCACATTTTCCTTCTGCTCTTCCACGGACCAGCTCTAACATCTACATTCTACGTCGCAGGGCACTTAACAAGTAAGAAGGCTCATCTTCCTCTTCACCATGTGGAGAAAACTTTCTTCTTCAGGAAGTAAGCTCTTGGGAGGCAGAGGTTGGGTTGGATATGTTCTATACTTTGCTCAGTTGTCCAAAGCCTTAATCAATTGATAAAATACAAAGATGAGAACACAGGAAATTTTCTGGAGTCCCAACAAAATGATGCGTTCTTTTTAATTCCCAACATGATGTAGAAGAGAAGTGATGACAGGGGTAATGAGTATAATTTCTTTTCTTTTCTTTTGAAATGGCGTTTTACTCTTGTTGCTCAGGCTGGAGTACAATGGTGCAATCTCGTCTCACTGCAACCTCCACCTTCTGGGTTCAAGCGATTCTCCTGCCTTAGCCTCCCAAGTAGCTGGGATTACAGGTGCCTGCCACCACATCCAGCTAATTTTTTATATTTTTAGTAGAGAATAGGTTTTACCATGTTGGCCAGGCTGGTCTTGAACTCCTGACCTCAAATGATCCACCCATGTCCACCTCCTAGGATTACAGGCATGAGCCACCGTGCCCAGAGAGTATAATTTCTTAACAGTTATGATAAGTAAATAAATGCATCTGAGCTATTTTAGTTTGGATAGAATTGAAAAAAAGTCATTATGTAGACAAATTTTATTTAAAAACATTATTCTAGTGTAATTCCTTATGCAGAATAAAAAAGATGTCAGAGAAATTATGCCTTTGACTATCATAGAAAATTTCAAGCTTTAAATCATCTCACCTCCCACATTGAAATTCACCAAAACAGCATTCAAAAAGAACTTAGATTTAAAATTCTCCTGTGGGTGGCTAAGTGTTCATAGCATATTCTCATTGCCATTGTAAGTAGGCATTTGAATGGAATGACAAAAAATGTTAATTTAAAGGAAATTAGAACTTTAAATGACACTGTTAAATTAGTCATCAAAAATGACTAGTCACCAAAATGACCAATGCTTCCTTCAAATTTTAAATAATTATAACCAAATAAAGGAAGCCATATAGTTTATTTAAAATCCCACTTTCAGACCCAAAGGGCAGAGTTCAGTGATACTTTAGTAGGTAAAAGTCGGGGGGGGGAGGGGCTCCAAAAAAGAGAGAGCAATAGAGGAAAAGCACCAAATTCCACATACTTTGCCTAAATCACTGGTTGATCTCTGAACTGCATACGCGAGGCGGATTCGATCCTTTCAGTGAAGGCTAAAAAGACTACATGAGATTTTAGTTGCTCCCCATGAAAGGAGAGACATTCTGTGGAGTATGGATACAGCCAAAGGAACTGCTTGATAAATCAAAGAAACAGAAAACCCTTTAATGCTTGTCAGAAGAACCTAATAGAATCAGAAATCTCTGCACTGTATTTCTCAAATGTCTAGGATACAATCATAAGATCACTAGACATTTAAGAAATAAAACATGAGTCATAATTAAAATAAATGAGAAAAAAATTAATGAGAATTAACCTCAAGATACTCCAAATATTCAAATCAGCAGACAAAATTTCAAGGTAGCTATTATAACTGTGCTCAAAGACATAAAGGAAAATGTGTCTGTAATAAATAAGCAAATAGGAAATTTCATCAGATACAGAAATGATAAAAAAACAAAATTTGAGAACTTAAAAACATAATATCTGAAATAACTCACAAGATGATTTTAACAGAAGGTTGGAGGTCACAGAAGAAGGAATCAGGGAACATGGGAGATAGATCAGTAAAATTTATCGACCTGAAAGATAAAAAATAATGGGAAAACTGGGCAGAGGTATGTTGGGCTGTGTATAATATCAAAAGGTGTAACATATTTAATTAGAGACCAAAAGAAACAGAAAGAGTAAAAGAAAATTCTTTGGAGAAATAATGGCCCTAAACTTTCCAAATTTGGTGAAAGACACATATTTACAGATTTTTAAAGGTCAGAAAGTGCTGAGCAGGAAAAATCTGATGAAAATCATGTCTAGTCATATCACAAATTATAGAAAACAAAAAATAAAGAGAAAATCTTTAATGCATACAGCAAAAATGGCAAGTGACATATAGGGAAACATAAAGGCAAGCAAAGATCTGAATGACCTCTGATTGCTTATCAGAAGCAAATGGAGGCCAGAAGACATTTAAATATACCTTTTAATTTAACAAACATCTCTTATAGACATCAGATGGCTAAGATTTGCTTTTTGATCCATTCTGGTAATCTCTTCCTTTTAAATGAAGTGTTTAGTCACTAACATTTAATGTAATTAATAACAGTTGAATTAAGGCTTCTCATTTTACCATTCATTTTCTCTATGCTTTATCTATTACTTTCAGCTATAAACCCTTTGGAGATCATATGTAAAAAATATAGGGGAGCAAGACAAAAAAATGAGTGCAAACATATGAGTAAGGTCTGATTATTAGATAAATGTGTAATAATCTGATTTTGATAATTGCATTGTGGTGGGTCAGAAAATATGTCCATAAAACCATAAAGTAAATATGGTAAAATATGAACATTATAGAAACTGGGTGAGTGGTATATGGGAGTTCTTTGTCCTTTTAAATAATTTTATGGTATATCTGAAATTATATTAAAATAAAAATTATAAAGAAAAAAATGAGGTCAGAAATTAAATGCTCTCTAAATTCCAGGTGAGTTTGAGTGATTAATTTGTAAGAAGAAAACTAAACCAATATTTTTTCTTGCTTTTTTATCCTAATTAGGGAAAACACATCATTGATCATGAATTCAAAATTCTTCTGGGATAGTCCAGGTGTCCATTCTTTCTGTTGACAAAAGCCTCCTGTAAGATTTTTAGCTTGGGATTGGTGAGAAAGTAGTGAAAGGGAAACTTGAAATTAGTTCCCCGAAAGCAGAACTCCTGAGGAAGAGGATCACTTGGGAATGAGAGTGTATACCACAAGACATCATTCACTGTTCTTGGCCTTGGAAGAAAAGATTCTGGCTTAAATTCCTGTTTGAAGAGGCAACATAATATAGCACAGTGGTTCCCAAACTTTTCTCCACATTGGAATTACCTGGGGACTTTACAAAGTACTTATGCCTGGGTTCCTCTCCCCCTGCCCAACTCTCTAATTTCCTTGCTATAGGGTATAACCTGGGAATTTTTAAAGTTCCTGAGGTGATTCTAATGTGCAGCAAACTCAGAAAGCACTGGTGTAGAGGTGAAAGTGTGTTGAATGGATTCTTGTTCAAATTTGGACTCCAGATTTTACCAGTTGGATAATCTTGGGAAAAATATGTTATTTCTCTGAGCCTTGGTTTCCTTAGCTGTAAAGTAGGAATGGGAAAATCTTTATTGCAGAGTTGTTGGCAGCATGATGACAATATATGCAGAACACTTAGCACAGTGCCCAGCATGCGGTAGACATTCAATACATGGCATTATTTATTTTTGTTGTTTTAATTTTCTATTTTTCCATTTATAAGCAGGAGAGAAATATTCCACAAACAATTTCTTAAAGAGGAATAATTAGAAATCAACTTATGTGTGCTGCTGGGGTGTGTATAATGCAGTTACAAGTTGGGATCTTCTTTGTTCTGAAGCTGAAATCTCTTGCTAGGAAGTGTCCAGGTACAAGAAGAGAGTGGTAGTGAGGACTCAGGTCACCACAGGTTCTTGGTTGGTTTTATTACCTCTCAAATCTCAACTGAGAATGACAGATGTCACATTGCCCTTGCACTTTCTTTTACTTCATTGATTGAATGTATTAAATTATATCATCTCATTTATAAAGATGAAATAAATCATATTTTGCTGAGATAACTAAACTATTGGCCTCCTACCCTGGAACCATTTCCCCCTTTCCTTCCTAATTCTTCCTTCCTTTTTTTTTCCATCCCTTTCCCACTCAGCCAAGTGCCACAGGTATAGCTGACACCTTCCCAAGATCCAGGAGGTCACTGAGGCCTACAGGAGATCCCATTCCTATTTGCAGTGTTTAGCTCAGGGTCCACAGGTGAACCACTTCTGGCCATGGGATATAAAGGCACACTTGCTGGGGGCTTTTGGGAGGTTCCTTTTCTCTTAAGAGGAAAATTATACGTAAAGGAGTTCTCTTTTCTTCCTGGGACATTTTTCTCACTAGATGTTATCCCTGGAATCCTCTAGCCATCTGAACTACAGCCTGATGTTCAGGCATTGAGAATTGAAGGGCAGAGTGATGAGAAACATCTAGGTCCTTGATATCAACATTCAACTACAAAGCCAATACATTCTGAAGCCTCCTTTATATCTGGCCAACGAATCTGTGAGCCGATACACTTTGTTATTGATTAAAGTAGTGGAGGTTCTTTTCTATTATCTGCAGCTAAAGGCCTCCCGGTATAACTGCTCTGTGTTACCCTTTCAGTTATTCTATATTTCATCATCACTTTCAAAACGTTATTTTATACATTAAATGTAATATTATACATTTCTAATTTGCATAACTTTCTACAGTTTTCAAATTTTTTTATCCTAGTTAACATAAAGTCCTTGAAGTGAATACCATCTTTATCATTATTTCATTTTAGTAATAAGAAGCTGAGGCTCAGAAGGTTTAGGTAACACAGTAGGATGAAATGACGAAACTGAAACAAGAAGTCATGTCTATTTTCTTCTGTAAAGACAGTCATTGCCGCTCTTTACCAAATGTTTTCACTTCTTCTGACACATGAGTCCCAGATTGCACTTCCCCATCCTTTTGAAGTCACTTGTGGCCATGATAGTTGCCCTGGCCCAATACAATGTGAACAGGTAAGATATATTTTACTTCTGGCCAAGGCGTCAAGAACTGGTACATGTTCTGTCGTCTTCTCTTTCTCTTTAATGCAGATAGCAGAGGTCCCATGCACCTGGGTACTACAGAGGAGACATGGAGTGTGGCATCCAGCAATGTTGTGATGAATTTGTAGTGAGAATTAACAGTAAACATTTGCTGTTATAAACTACTAAGATTTGGTTATAAACCACTAAGTGTAATCTAGCCATTGCTCACTGAAAAATTCATAAAGTGGCTATACCACTTTCTGTGTTTTTAACTGGCAATAATTTAACTCAGTTCTCTATTAGACAACTCAATTCTAAATTTTTTTCTGAGAACGTCTGAAAATTTTATCCAGAAATAGTAAAGTTTTAAAAATGTTATTTCAGGCCGGGTGTGGTGGTTCATGCCTGTAATCCCCGAACTTTGGAAGGCTGAGGTGGGCAGATCACATCAGGAGATGGAGACCATCCTGGCTAACACGATGAAACCCTGTCTCTACTAAAAATACAAAAAATTAGCCAGGTGTGGTGGGGCGTGCCTGTAGTCCCAGTTACTGGGGAGGCTGAGGCAGAAGAATACGTTGAACCTGGGAGGTGGAGGTTGCCGTGAGCCGGTATCACTCCACTGCACTCCAGCCTGGGCCACAGAGCAAGACTCAATCTCAAAATTAAAAAAAGCAACAACAACATATTATTTCGATAGTTTTTGTGGAACAGGCGGTTTTTGGTTACATGGGGAAGTTCTTCAGTGATGATTTCTGAGATTTTGGTTCACCCATCACTCAAGCAGTGCATACTGTATCCAATGTGTAGTCTTTTATCCCTCACCTCTCAAGTCCCCTAAGTCCACTGTATCATTGTTATGCCTTTGCATCCTCATAGCTTAGCTCCCACTTATGAGAACATAAAATGTTTGGTTTTCCATTCTTGAGTCCCTTCACTTAGAATAATGGTCTCTAACTCCATCCAGTTGCTGCAAATGCCATTATTTCATTCCTTTTTATGGATGAGTAGTATTCCATAGTGTACATATATCACAGTTTCTTTATCCACTCATTGGCTGATGGACAGAAGTAATAATTAGCTTAAAATACATCTACATAGTCATCATCAAATCAGGTATATATTTAGGTTAATAAAACTGTAGTTCCTGATAGCTTTGTTTGAGACAAACAGACTTACGTTAATTTTTCTCAACAGTTGAATCCTAGACATTCTCTGTGTATTCAAAAATGCCTCAGTATGGAGAAGATGTTTGGGTGACGTGCTAGTGCCTCATCCGAAAAGTATCTCCCTCCCAGCGAGCCACTCTGTTGGGATTATATCCAGTGCAGAGGTCCAGAATAGTAGAAGCAGCATGCAGGTGAACATATGCTTAGGGTATTAGAGAGAAATCCTCACCAGGTACCCAATCTAGACAAAATCAGAGAACATGATGTCACTTATTTGAGCCTCATTTTTCTCATCTGTAAAATGGAAATCTGTCTATGTAGAGTGGTTATAATAATTATTTGAGATAATGCATATAAGGTTTGTAGCATAATGCCTGGCATTTTAAAAATAGTTGATACATTTTAATTTCTCTTGTGCATTCTCATTTTTATTTGTCATCCTGCTATCGTAAAAGTGTTTACTATTCATTATCCACTGGAAAAATATCACATATACCCAGAAAAAGATGTGAATATGTTGACTGCTTTCTTTTCTCAGACATGATTAAAGTATACATTTTGAACTTATGAAGACTGAACATCTTTGAGCTTTTATTTTGCAACTTTCTTAAGACTGTAACTGGCAGATTTGGTATTAAAACCTCTATCATTTACGTTGCTTCATGATGCAAGTAAAAGGGCTTAAATAAGGAAAGGAATTTTTGGGTTTTTTTTTGGTTAACAGGTCTCAGGTGGGGCTGGCTTTGAGCAAGTCTTGATCCATTTGCTCCTTGTATCATTTTAAACACACACAGGTTCATCTTGCCCATTGCCCAGACAGAATGAATTCATCAAGACAGAGGAATTGCAATAAAGAGTTGAATTCACACAGAGCTGGCTGAACAGGAGACCAGAGTTTTGTTATTACTTATTACTTTTGTTATTACTTTCAGTCCCCTGTACATTCAGAGACTGGGATTTTTAAAGAATTTGGGAAATAGACCAGGGAGTGAGAAGAATTGATTGCTTCTGTGTGACATGAAATTATAGGGAGATGAAACTGTCCTCTTCTACTGAGTCAGTTCTTGGGTGGGGGCCACAGGACTAGATGAGCCAGTTTATCCAACTGAGTGGTACCAGCTGATCCATGCGTGTAGGGTCTGAAAAACATCTCAAGCACCAATCTTGGGTTTTACATTGTGATGTTATCCTTAGGAGCAACTGGGGAGGTTTAGAATCTTGTGGCCTCCAGCTGCATGACTCCTAAAACATAATTTCTAATCTCGTGGCTAATTTGTTAGTCCAACAAAGGTTCCCAGGCAAGAAGGGGGTTTGTTTTCAGAATGGGCTGTAAACTAAGTTCCTCCCAGAGTTAGTTCTGCCTATGCCCAGGAATGAACAAGGACAGCTTGGAGTCTAGAAGCAAGATGAAGTTGGTTAGGTCAGATCTCTTTCACTGTCATAGTTTTCTCAGTTGTAATTTTTGCAAAGGTGGTTTCATCACTAGTGCTCTCTGTCTTCACTACAAGTCTGTGTCAAGCATTACTCATTCAAAAAGAAAGAGAGGAAGAAAAAAAGACTTCGCTTTTGCCTTAGAATCAGTCTTGAATCAGACCAATGGAATCGTTCGGTTGGAAATGAGGTCAAACTGACGTCTTTAAGGTCCTGTCTTAGTAACTAAAAATACTCAAAATAGAACTGAAAAAGAAACTCAGATTTTACTTTATTGCTCAAGAGAGGAAGATAAATGTTAAACACCCAAAGAAAGAAAGGTAGCAAGATAAATCACCCAAAGACCAACAGAATGCCCAATCCATACACAGAATTGTGCTAGCTTTTAAGAAATTTATCACCTAGTCATACAAGACCAATGCTGTTGAAATAGTTATTAAGAGACTGTATGAAGTACTAAATTTTTAAGTAAATCTTAAATTTCAAGGGAACTCTTTGAAGGCAGAACCCAGTTTTATCTTTTACACAACAGGCACCCAATACATGTTGGTTAATGGAATAAAAATAACATTGGCAAGCTAGTCAATGTTATTGTTGTGAGGAAATTGTTCTCCATATTTTTCTCTAGAATTTTAAACGATTAATATTAAACTGAGTCCACGATAGATGGAAAAGGTTGACTCGGGGGTTGAAAGTTGAGTTCCACTTTTACTAGCTGTGTGATCTTGGAAGTTTATTAGAGTCTTCAAAATAACTGTTCCTTGGTGTGGATGATAAGAGAATTCATGTGGATTACAATCAGAATTCAACCAGACAATGTCTATGAAAATGTCTCTATGAACTATTTAAAAAGGTAAGGAATTATCACTTGAATGGATTCTAATTTGAATTGAATTAAACTGAACTGTGTTGGAATTAGACTTAAGAGATGATTTGGTCTAGAAAGTCTATCTTTAGAACATTAAGAAAATCCATTCACTTACAGTTATTATTATTTGAGACAGAATCTCGCTCTGTTACCCAGGTTGGAGTGCAGTGGCACGATTTTGGCTCACTGCAGCCTCCAACACCGGTTCAAGCGATTCTCATGCCTCACCCTCCTAGTAGCTGGAACTACAGGCTCGTACCACAACGCCCAGATTTTTAATTTTTTTTTTGAGGCGGAGTTTCGCTCGTTACCCAGGCTTTAGTGCAATGGTGCGATCTCGGCTCACCGCAACCTCTGCCTCCTGGGTTCAAGCAATTCTCCTGCCTCAGCCTCCTGAGTAGCTGGGATTACAGGCACGCGCCACCATGCCCAGCTAATTTTTTTGTATTTTTAGTAGAGACGGGGTTTCACCATGTTGACCAGCTGGTCTCGAACTCCTGGCCTCAAGCAATCCACCCATCTCAGCCTCCAAAGCGTTGGGATTAAAGGCGTGAGCCACCACGCCTGGCCAATTATCTTTCTAAAGAGAAATCTGATCACAGAACATCCCATTACAGAGTTTAACCCTAACCCTATCCCTAACCCTGTGCCTACAACATAGCCAAAACTCTTTTGCAAGGCAGACGACCTCAAGCAGGATTTCACTGTGTCTTTGTCACAGCACTCAACAAGCTGTGATGTATTTATTCGTCTACACAGGTCTTTCCTACTAGATTCTGAGTTTCAGAAGAAAGATCTCTTTACTTGAGGGTCATGAGTGGACCTGCACAAGGGGGCAGGCGGGCTGCTAACCACCACATCCTGGAGTCCTGCCTTTTTTCCTTTAACAAGCCCGTGCGCTGTGCCGTTAAATGTTCATAAAAAAGTCCTCGTCGAACGTTTTAAATACCCAAGGTGTTTCGGCTTTTATTGCCAAACTGGCCACCAAGCCACATTCCGCTTCTTGGCCTCCTCTTTGTTGTCAGAGCTCGGCTGGCGGCTTCCTGTGGCCTCTGAATCAAGGACCTCATTTTGGGAGCCATTCGAGAGATTTTTCTCATATTGCCGCCTTGCACAGTTGAAAGTCATTCCTCGAAATGAGATCGCCAGAAGCGACAGGAGCCACTCCAGGCCCTGGGGAAGCAGGCTGAGCAGAAGCAAGCTGCGTTCGCCAGCGCAGGCCTCGCGAGTCTGGGCCTTCTCCATGTTTCCAGCGCTACCCTCGGGGTCCCTTACAGAGAACGGGGGCCGGGTGGAGGGGCGGAGCAGAAAGCAGGCGGGATCGGCCCGGGAAAAACCCGTTCTGGGACCCTCTAGATATCCCAGGAGGCCCTACCGGGCTGACAGCGCCCACCTGCGAGCCCGACACGCTCCTCGTATTTAGATTAACTCCTTCGGGTTTCCGTTTTCCGTTTCCAGGGGAGGGGTGGGACTTCCTATTTTAGCTCTGAGCGGCTTCCGGCAAGAGCTGATGGGTTAAAAACAAGACAGCACATGGGCCTGCCGGCCACTTGGGTAAAAAACAAGGAACTCGACCTGGATTTTACTAAACCAGTTCCACGATTCTGTTTTTGATTGTGGTGTCCAGCTCTGCATCCACGACGGAGTCGCCCTGAAAGCCGCCGGAAGTCCTTCAACGGAGAAACAGGATGTCCCGCCTCTTCCTCCCAAAGGGAAGACGGTGAGCCGGAGGAGTCAGTCAGAGGGGCGAGCAGGAGCGATTCCGTCGCCAAACAGGTAAGTTATTCTCTGGCCGGGGCGGGGGGTTTGGAGGCGGGGACCGTCCAGCGTCAGCGCGGGGCCTGGGGGCGGTGGCTTGAGGGCTCGGAGCCTGGCTGCTGGGCGCCCGGAGCCCCGTCTGGGCCCTTCGCTCTTTCTCCTCCCCCCTCCCCCCGCCTCCGCCCCTCCCTGTCGCCTTCCTTCCCGACACCCGCCCAGACTCACCCCCGGACACACACCCTCGCTCGCTCGCTCACGCTGTCTCGCCGCCCTCCTTCCCCCGGCCCCCTCCGTCGCCGCCTCCGCCCTGCCCTCTCACCCGCTCGCTCCGCAGGCCCGTCCGGCGGGCAGCCTCGCGCCGCGCGGTCCCACGGGCGGAGCTCTCGTGGACACCTCGGGGCTGCGGACCCAGCGTGGCCTCGGTGTCCACTGCCCGATCCGCCTGTCCACGCAGAAACAGGCCCCCGCCCCCTCGCCACGCATCCTTGCACCGAAATCGGGCCGTTCTCGTTTTCCCAGGTTGCTCTCAAAGGGACCGCAGATGCTCGCCTAACTGCAGAGCTGCAAGGTTTAGCGTCTGGTTTCCAGCAGGGGCTCCCTGGATCGCTCGCCCACTCTCGATTCACCCCCAGGTGCCCCGGCTGCGCCGCTGCCACTCGCGTCTTCCGTTAAGCGACGCTGGTGTGGGCGAGCGGAGGGCACACAAGTGCGGTGACCGAGAGCACCGCGGTGGCAGCGAAGGGTCCTGGCCTCTCCCGACTTAAGCCCGCTCTGCGACACTGCGGGTAGATCCTCGGCTGCCTGATGCCTCTGCCGGCAGCGTTGGGGTTTCCCAGTAGATACTCACCTTTTCCCAGCCAGCTAGCACGCCCTGGGTGCGTGGCTTCCTGGAGTTTAAGCTGGTGGAGGCGGGGGCAGCGGCCGCTGACCTCTGTCGGTTGCGCTGGGTTTTGAGTAGCCCATTTATTTCATTGGGGAGTTCTGGAGTAGGACAAACCACTTCCGTGGATACACATGTAGAATTATTTTGTAGGTAATCACAGTCTTAATAGTGATCCGAGTTGCAGCTTTGCAGTCTGTGCCTAGTGGCAGCCGAGTCGTAGCATGTATCTGTTTTGTGATGAGGTGCTAGTCCAGTTAGAACACTGTAGACAGGGGCCCTAACATGCACTCTTTAGAACCCTATTAGGAAAGCTCATACGCCATTTGGCATACTCACTGTACTTAATTTAGTATGGAAATCTTGTGTAGTAGGAATTACTCCCTTTTTACAAACTGAGACTCACTTTGCTATATACAAACTTACTAACTGCTACTGGCACAAGGTAAAGCTCTTCCTTGACATCTAAGGCAGGTGTGATAATTGCTGATAACACAGTTGCTACTGGTGCATTTTTTAAAGCTTTATTTTGGAATGAATTAACATTTACAGAAACGTTGCAAACAATAGGACAGTTCCATGGGTACCTTTTAAGCAGAGCAGAGTGGCTCCCCTTCAAAACACTGGTCCTTGCTTTGTGCCAACACCCTCCTAGGTGTTGGAAATAGTAGTCTGCTTCCCTAGAGGGTTTTGAGATCTGGTTGAAGAGACACATATAAATAAGTACAATACTTTTTTCTAAGCACTAGAATAGAGATAGGGTAGCACAGTGGAAGTTATGGCTGATTGACAGTGGGGAGTGGTGAAAGCTTGCAGGATATATTACAGTATTTGAGTTAGATCTCTAGGACTGGGTATTCACCTGGTTGAAGGGACATTTTCTGCAACATTCATTCCAATTATGTTTGTTTTATTAGAGTATAACTCGCTAACCTTAATGAAATAGACCCTCCTAGTTTGATCCTTCTCTTTCTCATCTCCTTTAAGAAAGTGGTTTGTACCCAGATAGAAGAATCCTAGTTTCTAAATCCATGAACTGGTGAATAAACTAAGCTGTATATTTCTAATTGGTAATTGTGACTCTTTTGACTGTGGCTGAGATTGGTTTTTAGGAATGTACTGTGGTCCTCCACTGAGAATTTTCCTTGCTTTCCCACTCTGATTACTAGTGGGATTAAGTAATTCATTCTGGAAACATTTAGTGCATGCTTACTTTGTGCCAGCTATTGCACTAGAATAAAATGATGAACAAGATAGTGGGGAATATAGACAAGCAAATGTGCGTTGGCAGTGCAGTCTAATATCATGCCCACAGAGTGTCACAGTGCCAGTCATGATTCTTGATTGGCAACCATGGCAGTGGACTTGGCTGACTTAAGCAGAAACGAATTTTTTGGAAGTTGATAGATGGCTTTCAGAAATGATGGGAAGGCTGGGGAACTATATTCAAAAAACAGGTAGTAACCAAAAGAGGCTGGCTGGATGGGGCCACAGCCAACGCAATATCACATGAATAGTCTGCCTAGAATTTTGCTGCTGGTGACATTGCCATTGGAGAAACTGCCACCTCTGTTGCTGGACTGTTGACTCTCTTCTACCACTGAAAAATCTTACTGCTCCTGCATCTTTGTGACCTTTTCTTCCAAGCCACTGTAGTTGCCAGGGAGCAGGGAGATGGAGAGATGGTCTTTATTTCTCACAAAGACCCTTGCCCCAAAGGATTCCTACTATATAAGAAGGCAGCTTGGGTGGTGTGTAGCCCTAAAATAAAAACTGTTCAGCATAACCACCAAGCCTGGCAAGTCTAGAGAGGTTAGAGAGGAATGCCAAGAGGGACTGACAACCAGAGAATGAATAGGAACTCACTGGGCAAAGAGATAAAGAGCAGATAGGGAATCAAGTTTCAGGTGGAGGACCTCCAGGCGTCAGGAGGTAGTGTGGAACATTTCAAGACTTGAAAGGTGTTTAGGATGGCTGGATTGTGGAGTATGAGAGGAGGTGTGGAAGATAAGGCTGGAGAGGCCCTCTTGAAGAAATGTAGGCAGCATAGTAGCATGTGCATACTTTTGTTTGTTTAAGTACTTCAGTGGCAACTATGGAGACCAGTTGGCATTGTGTAAGGCTAGGGGACTGGGATCTTTCAGAGGCTGTTGCATTGATACTAGGTTAGACATCTCGGAAGTCTGAACTAGGATAGTTGCCCAGAGGTAGGGGAATTGAGTGGATAGTGTATGTTCAGTTAGTGATGTGGATTTAGGGATGATGTAGGTAAGAGGGGTGAGATGGATGAGTCATGGTGGACACTAAAGTATCTGCTTTGGGTGACTGGGTGGAGCCTGGTGTTCTCTGTGTGGCGATGGAAGATGAGCATGTGTTCCAGTGATGGTTCAGTGTGGGCTCATTTTTGTGGACACAACTGTATTGATGAGTCAGCAATCCCAGAGGACCATCAACATCTCACTGCAGCCAGCCTTGGTTCCTCCAGTTAATTGTGTGTGTGTGTGTGTGTCCGTCTGTCCATATCCATCCGCCTTCTTTATTAGATTGTGGCAAGACTGCTTTCATGTGTATGCATCCCAAGTCTCTTGTGTGATATCTTACACATAGAAGGGGATGTTAGGCTATTCTTGCATTGCCTAAAATGAAAAGGTTTAATTGGCTCATGGTTCTGCAGGCTCTACTGGAAGTGTGGCACTGGCATCTGCTGGTGAAGCCTCAGGAAGCTCTCCGTTATGGCAGAAGGCACAGGGGGAGCCAGCATATCCCATGACAAGAGCAGGAGCAAGACAGTGGGGAGGTGCCACACACTTTAAACAGCCAGCTCTCACGAGAACTCACTCATCATCTCAGGACAGCACCAAGCCATTCATGAGGAAACCCCCTTCCATAATTCAGTCTCCACCCACCAGGCCCTACCTCCAACACTGAGGGCTACATTTGAACATGAAATTGGAGGGGATGCACATCTAAAGTGTATCAAGAGGAATCAGTAAATACTGTGGAATTTAATGGAATCAGTATGAGTAGTTTGGAGCAGAAAGCAAGTACAATTATATGTGTATAACATGTCTCTATACAATATAGGCATATATATATATATATATACATGTGTATATAGCTAAACCTACATATGAGTCTTGCATCACTAGTGAGGGGTCCACATCTCCTGTATATTTTTTGTAGTGGACTTTTTATTCTGATATTATTAGTATTGTCTTTGACTAGAACATCTTGTGGTAATTCTATGGGTAGATCATAATTGTAATAACTCTCTGCTTACTTGATTATCTTGCAATGCTAACTACCTGGAATAAAACCCAGAATAGCCTTGCGGGAAGGTGATGGTGGGGCAGGAGTGTGAAGGAGTGACCGCCTCCCTAAATAAAGTAAAATCTGGAACATCTGGAACTGAGCCCTGAAAGGAGAAGATTTTGCGGGAGAAGGTGGAGATAGATGATGGTCTCCAATGCTGCTTTCCTTAAGTTTAATTTTCCTTTTGAGGACTCATATGATAGTTTCCAGTTATAATAATCCTTGTTTAATGGTTCGGTTTTCTTGAGTATAGCCGAGAAAACTGGAAGTTTTCAAAGTACTAAGTACTTAGGGACAGTAAAAGGCAGATCAATATAGAATTCAATGGAAGTAACAAGAATAACGTTTTTGAGCTCTTTGTATAAACACTGTGCCAGGTGCCTGTATACATAGTCCCAGTTCATCCCCCCAAATCCTTTGAGGTGTATACTACATTTTATTGATTTATGGGACACTCACATTTAGGATAAATAGCTTGTGCAAGGTGGCACAGGTATTAAATGATAGAGCCAGGATTTGAACCAAGAGGGTCTGCCTTCAGAACCCCTATTTTAGTCACTAAGCTAATATAGTCACTAAGCTATATTACCTTCTATAATATTTTAGCATTGATATATTCAACTTTTTTTTATGCTCTCTTACATTCAGTGTAATCTGCGAGTTGTCAGAGATCTAAGGAAGTGTAAGATGAACACATTGCCCTGGTCCTGCTGGGAAACAGCAGGACCTTTGCAGTATTGTGCAGCCCAGGATGCAGAAGGCTGAGTGTGTGAGGGGAGTTGGAGGCAAGGAAGACTCCTCAGGGGAACTCCTGAGGATGCCCAGC